TGCGATCAGTGGCACGCTCTATCGGCGGACCACGGCACCACTCTCAAGATGCACGCGCTCTCGTTCTTGGGCACGCTGGCCAGTCCAAACCGCGGCACCTGGGACACAGACAACGTGCAGAAGCTGCGCAACATAGGTTTCTACCAGCAGGTGGCTTGCGCATGCGGCTTGACGCGCACGCACAGTGAGCAGTATCACAAAGATCGTCGACAGCAGCTGCAGCTGCAGCAGCTGCCGCGGTTCCTGCCTCGGCTGTATCCCGACGGCCAGCGGGATGGGCTCATTGATCAGGGGCACGAGTTCGTCACGTACTTGGCCGGAACTCATCCAAACTTCTCTGCGCAGGAAGTGAAGTGGTGCATGCGAGCAGAGAAGTATATGCGGGACCTGCATGAGTCGCTCCAGCGGCTGCTGGAGCGCGCAAGGACGGGAGACTCCAAAGCATGAGCGTAGCGCTGCGCGTGCCGTTTCGGGCCGCGTAGTTGCTGCGCCAGCAAGCAGTGACGACCAGCCGCAACGCTCGCGTGCCGTTTCGGGCCGCGAGCAGCGGCGCACAGACCAAGCTCGCCGGAGAAATAAGGCTGGCTTTTGCGGGGGCGGGGCGGGAGACGGAGCTGGGGAGTTTTTAGCGGCTTCGTGTTGTTCAGCTGGAGCCCCTGGAGCTCACCTCTTTTTGCCTTTGCTGTCCTTAACAGACCTCGGAAGGTCCATTTTGGGAGGTCCTGTGCCCATTTGTTTTTTGTGGCTTTTTGAAGGGAAACCACCATTTTGCAGGGCTCGGTGCCCGTTTTTATTTTTTTGGCTCGGTTGTAGACGGAACCCAACGGAAAACCACTCTGGTCGGGAAACGAGAAGGGGGCACCACCCATTTTGTGAAGTCTGATGCCTGTTTTTTTTTGGTGGTTGTGAGGGGAAGCCAAGGGAACCCCACCCTAGTAAGGCCTTATTAAGGCCTCATTTGTGGGACACAAGAGGGCTGTGATTGACGGGTGCCGTGTTTTTTTGTTCGCTCAGCAGCCAAACGCCGTCGTTGCTTTTTGAACGGCTCAAAATCAGTTACTACTGTGACTTGGGCTTATGTTTACACACACGCACACCCACACATCACACACGCACACACGCAGCGCAACATCTTGTCACTAAAGAGCTGTTTTCCACGGCACAGCAAGTTTGCCACAGCGAGTCACACGGCCATTACGTGTTAGGAGCAGGCTTGGCGTTTCGGCCGGCCGCTCCGCGCCATAGCAGGCAGTCTCCGCGCTTGGCGTTTCGGCCGGCGTTGACATGGCGACTTTCGTGAGCATCAGCGGCGACGCGCTGAATGCGCTGAAGGACGTGTACAGGAGAAACCTAAGCGTGCCCGAGCGCTTGGCTTCGCAGGAATGCGTGGCGTGCACGAAAGCCATAGCCGACGACAGGTGGCAAACAGAGCCAGGCAGACGCGAGCTGGAGCGCACAGGTGTGTGCGAGCGGTGCTGGGACACAATCCATGGGCCCGGCGTGTCGGACACAGCGGCTCAGCGGCAGTGCGATCGTCTGAGCATCAGTGGCGTGGAGACGTGCAGGCAGTGGATCATGTTCAGCAAAGTTCGCGAAGTCGCGCGCATGTCTTCAGAGCACGGACGACTTGCGTGGGAACTCATCTTGGGCCGCAGGCAGCTGCCACCTGCGACGTGATGTCACGCAGGCGTAGTCGTCGCTTGGCGCTTCGGCCGGCGACGCGCGCGACGTGTCAGCACGGATGCTGGCACCGACGGACGCGCTTGGCGCTTCGGCCAGCGTGCCTACGAGCGTGCGGAGCAGAGGGCCCGGAGTAGAAAAGATGGGGCCGCTTTGGTGAGGCTTGTTGTAAGACTTGTTCCTTTTTGCCACATGGTGTCACAGTCACAGGGCTCTGAAGGTTCCTACACCACCGGGGGGGGGGGAGGAAGCTGTTGCCAGGTAGCTGTCTTGCGATTGTGGTCCGACATGGGTGGCTTGCCAGGTATAGAGTTCGAGAGAGAGAGAGAGAGAGAGAGAGAGAGAGACAAAAAAAAAAGAGAAAGAGAGAGAGAGAGAGAGCATAAATAGACAGATGCGCAGAACTCTGGAAAGCTGGTTGTGTGACTCGGGGGGTTCACTGCGCTCCGATCGGCTCCAAATCATAGGCACTGTCGTGTCTTGAGCAGGTTCTACACATACACACACACACATATACACGCACAACAAGCACACGCACCCACGCATGCATTTTCGAGTACAACTGCTTTCGGTAGTTGCAGCGCGGCTTGGCGTTTCGGTCGGCCGTGCGATTGCGGGCGCCACGGACCCGCGGCTTGACGCTTCGGTCGGCCGTGTGATTGCGGGCGCCATGGCCTCCGCGGGCCAGCGGCCCATGGTTGTCAGGCCGTCCGAGCTGACGCAGCCTGGACGGCTAGACGGCGCTAAGCGACTGCTTGGACGCCTCGTGGAAGTAGAACACGTGCCCAACGCCCGCTTCGGGTGCTACCTCGTCTGCGGCCACGCGGCTCGCGACGTCATCGCCATCGAGGCGTGGCGCGAGCTGGCCGAACCCGCTGCCTCTCTTTTGAAGGCTTCGTGCGTGGTCAGCCTCACGCAGATCGCGCTGAGCAGGCGGCAGGCCTCGAAAGCCAAGTACACGCACAGCCAGTGCGACCTCTTTGTTCGCTTTGACAAAGGCGCCGGAGTCGAAGAGGAGACCACGCCGCCGCTGGAGCTGCCGGCCGGCATGCCTTGCACGCCCTTGCACCAGGCCGCTTGCTGGAAAGATGGCCTCGTCAATGTTCGCGCAGAAGTCACGGGTGGGTTCTCCCGCGCGACAGACGACAAAGATCGCCTCTTCAAGCTCACTCTGCGCCAGCCCGGCAAAGCCGGCGAGTTCTCCGAGGCGGAAGTGCTCGCGTGGGGTGAGCTAGCGACAGCGGCAGAACAGGTGCCGCGACCGGCCATGATGGAGCTCCGCAATCTGGCGGTGACCAAGCACGCAAAGAACGGCTTCACCTTGAAGTGGCTCAAGCAGACCGCCGCGTGCGCCCTGCCTGCGGTCGAAGCGGAAGAGCTCCGAGCCAACATGGCTGGCCGCGAGCGCTGCAAGACACTATCCCTGCGCGCTGGCGGCGCTGCCGCGCGAGACTACGGCGCCGGACCGGCGACTTTGGTCTCGCTGGCGACGCTCGGCGCTTTTTTGCCGGCGGCCGAAGCGAAGAAGTTCTCTCACGAGGACGTGTGGGAGGCACCGTTCTGCACGCTGGCTCACCTGCAGACCTTGTCCCGGGTGCCGGAAGACTCTTGGCACTACACAGGCTGCGCCACTTGCTTTCGCAAGACTTGCGACAAACACGACGAAGCTGGCGTCCGGCCGTGCTACAGCCTGGAGGCTACTGTGTGGGATCACACGGCCACGCTGGACGCGAGGATCTTTACCAAGTGCGTCGACGAAGTGCTGCGTGCTGCCTTGGCGTTTCGGCCGGGCGACGCGGTACAGTCGCGAGAGAATGCGGAGCACGAGATCCGAGCCCGCAAGTGGGCTGTGCGCTTCGTCGTGGCGCACGACGAAGCGTACTCTGGACCGACTGGCTCTCGCGCCGCGCGCAACACCTTGCAAGTGGTGCATGTTCGCGAGGCTCCGCTTACCTACTCGGGCTCAGCAAAGCCACTCCTGTGCTTGCGCGCGGCCGCCTCACTCCCGGGCTGCCCATGCATCTACTTGTCAGACGCGACCTTGGATGACGCAGGGCAGATTACGGCAGGTGAGGATCTGCCAGTCCAGTATGCGGAGCTCTTACTGCGAGTGACGGCCAAAGATCCTGTGCAGGAGTGCAACGAAGCCGAGCGCGGAGTGCGAATCGTCTTCGAGTGCGCAGACGCCACGCAGCCAGATATCCGCGCGGACCTCATGTGGGTGGTCAGCGTCAGAGACAGCTTGGCCATCGCGCGACAGCGGCCTGACACGCTGTTGCGGGTGGTTGCAAAGCCTCATGTTCTGTTCGACACGGACGGCGAGCCTTCCTTGCGTCACTGGCAGGTGATCTTCCAGTTTCCGGCTGCGGACGGAGATATCGAGCCGTTTGCCCGCCGTCGGGCGTGGCAGCTTTCCTTGGACTCCCAGCCCAGCCTTGAGATCAAGCGTCTTCAGGAAGACGCCATGGCAATGACTCCGTTGACTAAGGTTGCCAGAGTAAAAGAGGCTTTGACCTCGCCCAGCTTTCGTGCTTGATGACGCGCGTGCCGTTTCGGGCCGCGCGTTCGTGTCGGCGCGTGCCGCGTCGGGCCGCGCGCTCGCGCGGACTGCTGCACCGCTGAAGCAGACGAAGAGAAAAGCCTAGCTTTTGCGCTTGACACGCGTGCCGTTTCGGGCCGCGTGCTCCAGCCCAGACTACAGCACGGCTTGGGCAGACGCAAAGAAAAGGCGCTCTCGGGGGGGAGGGAGGAGAGTTGAACTTGAAGCGCTCGTTGGGAGCTTTGGAAAGGGAAAGAGAAGAAGAGAGAGAGAGAGAGAGAGAGAGAGAGAGAGAGAGAGAGAGAGAGAGAGAGAGAGAGAGAGAAAGAGAGAGAGAGAGAGAGAGAGAGAGAGAGACAGAGAAACAGAAAGAGAAAGAGAAAGAGAAAGAGAAAGAGAGAAAGAGAGAAAAAGAGAGAGAGAGAGAGAAGCAAGGGGCCAAGGACAGCTCTCCAAACTATAGTTGTTCACTGCTTTGAAACTTCCGCCCCCCGGCTCTGCCGGACCTTACTTGTAGGGGGGGTGTCCCCTTTGAGATTCAGACCACTTTTGGAGGGAACACCCTCCCAAATAATGGGATGGGTTTTCTTAATCCTGGGTCAATATTATTTGCCACGCCTCCAGTAGAGAGGTTCGAATAGGGGTACCCTTTTTTTTCTGTAGTCTATTTTAGCCAAAAAAGGTAAAGGGCACTACTAGGGGGACCTAGCAGTACAACCTTTACTTGCCACTAACGTGTGCAAACCCAAGAGAGGTCGCCTTGGACATTGGGGTTCCAGGCCCAGCAGTAGCGGTTGTATCCCGCAGTCCTGCGAATGCCACCCCGCGAAAAAAAAATGGGAAAAAAAAGAAAGAAAGAAAACTAAGACCTGCGGTGGCTGGCATCTTATGCCAAGATTGGGGAGGGGGGAATGGGGAAGACCTACAAAAAAATAGTTGAGACCTACAGCCTACTACCAGGTGTCTGGCAGAAGATGCCGAAATGGGAGGGGAGGGAGACCTACAAAAAATGGTTGGGACCTACAAAACAGAGGAAAGCCATGAGAGTATATTCATTCATAACCAGATCGCTTCCGGGGTTTCCATCACGGAATTGTTGCTTTTCGTATCGGCCATTCAGCCCTCCATGGTTGCACAAGCGACGCGCCCCAAAGAAAAGCCAACAGCATACCGAGAGAAGATACGGCATGGGTCAGATGGAACCATACCAATTCAACAGCAAACAACCACAAACAGAAACACAAACGCAACTACTTGCCACAGAATACGGGTTTGGTGGTGTGCGGTTGGGAAACTTGTGATATCAAGGCAATCCACCGCACAGATCAAAACATGCACAAGCCTCCGAGATCTAGCTCAGTGATGATTTTCAAAAGAAGCAGTGTTCCGAAACCAGCAAAATCCCCAGGTGAAAATCACGCGCCGCACTCGGGTAGTGAGACCCACCAAAGAAAGATGCAGAAGAAACCTGAACGGTCAACAGCCCAGTTCGTTGGGAGATGGGGGATGTTCCGAGATGCCTTGCAGGGTTTCTGCACCTTGCCTCTCTCATGTTCCTGGTGTTGGGGAGACCGACTTCTAAACAGTTGCTATGTTATCTCGCATTTTCCTGAGGGGGAAACAGAAATTGCGGAAAAACAAACACAAAATAAGAATCCCCAAAGGGATCTTATGGGTGAGTTCATTTTGCCGATCGGTCTCGTGAAATTCATGGCTGGCAAGCATCTCAGACTGGGCTCCCCAAGAATGGGAACGGGCAATGTCTAAATCCACAAAAACATAATGAGTGGTTCATGAGGGGCCCCAAAGATGGCACCGTTGTCCGTGCTTAGAAAAAGGACATCCGCAAAAAGGACATCCGCAAAAGGAGACACACACACACTCAGATACAGGAGGCCCTGTGGGTTTCAACACGCCTCTGGGCGTCCGGGCAAAGTGAGGAGACTACCCAGGGGGTGATGAGCGAGATGCGCTGCAAGGTTCACAGCACAGCCGATGATGTACAAGCGGATGTTGCACCTCGAGAGGAAAAAACATAAGCCCGGATACTGTGGCTGGCCGAAATCCATTTCGCACCACTTGGAAACCATGGAAAATCATTGCGTGTTGGTATCTACAGGGGAATCATCATTCCGGGGTTTCTTAGGTGGTGCAGGATTTTGTCCATCCACTGTGTCTTTGTTTAGGGGACCCCCCAAAAATGGCGGTTCTCCTTTTGGTTTCTCTGTAAAGTAAACCCCCCCCCCCCCCAAAAAAAAAAAAAAACACAAGAAAAAGCGGGCGCAGACCCATATCTCCAACTCCTCTCTTCGAGGAAGCTCCATGGGATATCTATATATATATATATATATTATATATATTATATATATATATATACCTTGATAGAGTTTTATAGCGGCTTTATGTCCCATGAAGCTCCTGGGAATAGTCGCTTGGAGGTAGTGGAAAGCATGTTCTTCTGACACATGGATCCAATGAAAACCCCACAACTTCGATGCGCAGAGGTAACTTCCTCGTTCTGACTGGGATTACACCATGACCCTGGCAAGTCGGGTTTTAGTTGACCCAGAATGGTACCTCTGGGCACATGATTCACAGAAACCTGACTTCCTGAGTGGCCTGGCCAGAAAACGTCGAACCACCTGCTGTTGACCAGTAAACTGGGTCTCTTCCCGAAAAGGTTTTTGGAGTTCAGGAACTCAGGAGCGAGGAACAAAAAAGAAGTTTGTGAACCTTTTGATTGGACCTTATAAATTAAAAGTCCACTGACGTGAGGGGAAGCGGCCGATGCAGTCCGGGGTTTGTGATCCTTCGTGTGCGGGTTGGTGAAACTGACCAACGGCTGTATAGGTTTGTCTCAAGATAGGTTTTTTCCCAAACAAAATGGCTGGCTTCCGTTTGGTCTCCCTGAAAAAAGAAAAAACACCAATTAAAAAGAGAGCCACGCCACATTTGGCTTCGGGCAACATAGATGATTGGGAAGCCCAGCTGTACTCTGAACTGAAGCGAGGGGCACGTGGATGCTCTCGTCCTTGCCCACGCCTTTGTACAGCCACTCGTTATAGACCCCCGCGGACGCGCTCACCTGGCGAAAGTGCATGTGGGGGTGTTTCTCTGTGTGCCCCCCCTCCCCCTGGAAAGCAAGTGCCTGTGGGAACCCTGATAAATGGAACCAAAGACTGTTAAGACCTGAGGGGTTAATTTTGAACCATACCCAAGCTTCTTCTTTTGAATAGCTTTGTCCCCCTCCCCCCCCCACGATCTTGGGTTTCTTGGTTTCTCTTGCGGAGCACCTCTTTTTGAGTGGATTGCAAGTCCACTCTCTTCACTCGTTCTCTTCAGAAACCACCCATCCCGGCCCGGATCGGGCCATTTGGGCCGGACGATCCCTGATGGAAATGGAAGGCAAGACTGGAGGTCCCAGAAATGTTGTTTCTGCCCCAGATTCAGGGCCGACTCGCACGACGAGTGGGAAAGTTTAGGCAATTGAAACCTTACTTGCCAAAACAAAAATGGCACTCTGATTCAGTATGCGCTGGCTCCACCCCCCCTCTCTTCTACATTGCAGGGTCCCGTCTTCCTTGGTCCACAGTAGCCATAAAGACTGCCAGGGTAAACTCTGTGATTCCATGCCCGTAGGTATTGAACCGCCCTTCAGAAACCAAAAGTTGAAAACGTCAAAGGGTTGCCTCCCACCAACCATGGAAGCTGACGGGAGGGTTTTGGAACGCTGCTTTCCTTTCGGGCAAGCCTCAAGACGTCCACTTCCATGGTTGGCAGGAGGGCACTTAGATCTGGGACGAATCGCTAAAGGGTTCGCAACCCTGGCAGGGCTCATCCAACCATGGCCTTGGTGGGTTACAGCCAAGGTTCACCTATTGGCGATTCCTAGACCATCTAAGTACCGATGGCGAAATGTCTGGGATTCACCAGGGAGAACCCGTATAAAACATGTCGTCCTTTCGGATATGGGTGTCAAAGATGGACCCACAAAACGGTGGCGTTCCAATTGTTCGCTCGCCAACCTTGCGAAGGGAATCCCCCCCAAAAAGAAACAAAAGCTCATGCGGATCCACATGTGAAGATCGAGCCGAACTGGTTTCCAGCGCTGCCTGTCTAGTTCAACCAAACTGACCCAAAAAGGACTACGGATATAAAAATGCCCCTGTGTCCGAGTCCCTAAACCCCCAAACCCTTCCGAAAGAAACGCCAGGCGGACCCAAACGTAGATCATCACCAGGAAGACTCCCACCGTGTCGATGTGCATATGCTCCCTCTCGGCTTGCGATGTTTGCATGGGGGCTGCAGGGTTTGGTGGCACCGCAAGAAATTTGGGTGAGACTACCCTTGCGGAAAAGCTTAGGCAAACCAAAAGGAAACCACTCATTCTTGTCAAGGTCCCATGAAGTTCCACCCAGGCCCAAGTTTTCTTAGCACCTAGAAAAAGGTCCCTTTCTGGGATGTTAAAAGAGGTGACGAGGGCTTCCTGGGCCACAGAGACCCCCTCACCCCCCAACGCATGTGACACCTGTAAACATCCACTGGTCTGCACATGTGAATCAAAACCTGATGTTGAACATGTCTGACCAAAATGTACAAGAATTACAAGGGTGGATATCCGCGCCTGTTGGTTGGCATTGCCCCTAGGCTTCACTTGCTTGGGGGTTGAGCCTGGGATCAACCATTCCCTAAATGTCCCACCAATACCAACATCACCCCTGGCAAAAAGTTGATGGCCAACACGGTCGCCCAGCAGACATGTCAGACGCTGTGTGCTGCCGCTGCAACGCGATCGGGGCCTTCATGCGCTTGGCACTTTGCGACAGCGCCACGAGCGGCTTTGCGCCATCTCGGTGAAAAGTGTTTTGTCCACGCGCTCTTGCGGAGCCAACAGTAGCCTGGAGCTTGCCCAAACCAGCAATTGTGTTCCCTCGCTGCTTTGGGCCTTGCACCAAACTCGCCTTGGCGCCAAAGACGTGATGCTTAAGCCCACCCCTTGAGTGGTGAAAACTCGAAGAAATTGTTCCATGGTCGTTCCCTGAATAGGAATCAAGGCGCCCTAGGGAAAAGCTAGGGACGGATCAATCCATCTACACCGGCAAGCAGCCAGCGGAACAAAAGGCTCGCTCTTGACAGCTTGGACAACTAGCTGTGGGGGCAAACGAGCCAGGAATCCAACGATGTCAAGTCAGACAAGACATGAGGCGACAAGCTATGAACGTAAACCACATAAAGTTAACCCTTACGTCCGGAGTCAACTAATCAAGGGAGCCAAAGAACCAACGAACAGGTTCCTACAGTGGATGAAGAAATTCCTGCGCCAGTTGGTAGGCGGCTTATCCAGTTTTTCTAGCATCCAAACTGGCGCAGGAGTTTGTTCATGCACAGTATTCAGCCACCAGAGCACCCAAATCATAAGCTGTCGCGTTTGAACGGCTGCTTGACTCCGGACAAAAGCACCAAGCGAGCATGCAAGTCACTGCACAATGCCAACTCAACAACATACAATGCACCTACTGTCAATCGGCAACATAAGCCATCAACAAGCCGAACAGCAAACACAACATGCACATAAGGAATCAGGATCAACACAAAGAGAAGCTCAACCACAACCACGCAAGCACAAACAAAAGCAAGCATGAGTGTCAACAAGGGAAGACAATAAACAAATACGCATAGCACATGATTGTGGTACATAGTCTGCGTGTGCATACATATGTACACATACATATTCACATATATGAGTTGTGAATAGGAAGCCGCCTCAAACGCGGTTGGTGGACATGAATCCACGCCTGATGATGTGACCCTCATTCATAAAATACCAGAGAACAAGAAACACTAATGTATGTATGTATGTGTGCGTGCAAAGTAATGTAATGTAATGTAATGTAATGTAGCGCAGCGTAGCGTAGCGTAGTGTAGTGTAGTGTAGTGTAGTGTAGTGTAACGAAATGTAATGTAATGTAATGTAGCGTACTGTACTGCAATGTAACGTAATGTGATGCATCTATGTATGTACGTATACGTGTATAGATGTATGTATGTTTACTTGTATAGATGTATGTATGTTTGTATGTGTGTGTGTGTATATGCATATGCTTACGTATAGATATGTGTATATGTATACAAGTACGTTCTATGGGTATACGCATATGCATCTACGTATGTACGTATGTATGTATGTGTGTATGTATGTATGTATGTATGTATGTATGTATGTATGTATGTATGTATGTATGTATGTATGTATGTATGTATGTATGTATGTATGTATGTATGTATGTATGTTGTATGTATGTTGTATGAATGCACGAATGAATGAATGAATGAATGAATGAATGAATGAATGAATGAATGAATGAATGAATGAATGAATGAATGAATGAATGAATGAATGAATGAATGAATGAATGAATGAATGAATGAATGAATGAATGAATGAATGAATGAATGAATGAATGGATGGATGGATGGATGGATGGATGAATGAATGAATGAATGGATGGATGGCTGGATGGATGGATGGATGAATGAATGAATGAATGAATGAATGAATGAATGAATGGATGAATGAAGGGTAGGTAGGTAGGTAGGTAGGTAGGTGTATATATATATATATATTGTATACGTGTATATATATGTATACATCCCATACCCGCGCGCGCAAAGGCCGTGGCCGCACCTCTTACCTTCACTCTCGCGAGGCCATCCCGCAGACACAGTGCCTCTCGGCACGAGTGAGCTGAGGGAGCGAGCGAGCGAGCCGCTAGAGTTTGCCGTTTTGGGGGGGACCAACTCCTGACGCTGATGAAGACCTTTGCGGCTTGGGAGACCCAAAAACGGCTGGCCAACTGGTCCCATTCTTTTATCACCATCAAAGTCACTGTCGAAGTGATAGGTGACAGCCCCAGATTCTGACTTTGATACCCAACCCTTGGTAGCAAGGCAAACTGTGTTTTTTGCAGCTCCCTACTAAAAATGAACAGAACCCAAAAGCACTACAAACATGGCAACAACAGTGAACCCCCCTGACCTGTCTCTTTTTGCAGGTACGCTTTTTGGGGTTGAGTTAAAGGGAAACAAAACGGACACCACTCATTGCGTGGTCGGATTTTGAACTTGTGGCCTCAAACAGTGATGGTTACAACCACCAAAAGACAAAACATGGGCAAGCCTGGAAAATGCGGAGTCTGCGCTTGAAACACTGTTCACGTCCATGATGCTCGCAACCAAGGGAATCGTACCGCAGGGGCATCAAATCGTCGATGTTCAGACATTATTGGGTCAACACTTTGCCAACTGGAGAACTTGTCCATTCCCCCCCTGCCCAGCCCCCGCCCCCTAGACATGTTCCTTTTACCAAGGAAGAGACGGGCATGTAAAAAAGCAGGTTGAATGTTGGCAAAAGCTGATCCACTTTCGTTCGCGGTCGGAGACTCTTGTCTCTTCCAAAAGTTCAGAGGTTGTTTCGAGCGAGAGAGCGACCATGGCAACAAGCGCAACGTCTTTGCTAACAGGAACCCTGCCCGCAAACGAGCCTCTTTGCGTAACCTACTATAGCCGAAGCCTGCCCAATTGGTTAAGCCACCAGGCCTAAGTCATACGTACCATTTCAAGAATGAGTTCAAACCCCCAAGCCAATCCTACAGAATCAAGGGTTCCGGCTTGGGGCCCGCTAAACCAAGAGAAACCGTCCAAGTACACAGCTCGGCACGCAATACCTTTTGAGCCACCATCTGCGCATGTCGGAAATGCAAATTGTGGAGAATGCCCAATGTGTTTCTTCACCCCCCTCCAAGTGTAAAAAGGGGCCTTTTACAAAGCAGCCAAACAGAAACACTCAGAGGGGAATCTGGGCCTCCAAACAAAAGTACAAAGTATGGTTCATGCACCCCGCGACAGGTGCGGTTTTACCGCTCCCACCACATGGAATTGGAAGACCAGCCCTGCCAGTTGCTCCACCAGCTCTGCCATGTGTCCGTGCTGGACCCTTGGCCGCTTCGCCATTGATCATTGCGCCAATGCACACCCACGCGGGCGGCGTAGGATCCCGTTGCAGCGGACGCTGCCTTTGCGGCATTCTTGGTGAGCCGCTTGGCACTCTCCTCCTTCGAGAATTCAACAGATCCCACAGCGGAGCGTTCGCTCTGGCCGAACAGCCACTCAAACTCTTTGACGATCGCCTCTTGGGTAGTGCCTCTCACGGACACAAGACCGTTCCATCCCAGCAGCTGCCTCGGCCGATCCTTGTCAACAACCATGTTCGCAAAGACGGCCGGGCTGTATGGTGTGCCCTGAAACATGATGATCCATTTGCTATCCAGCTACTGAGAGGCTCCGGGAGAAAATGCAGTTCTGTCCTCAAGTATGCAAGACGGGCTACCAAGTGCTCGGATGCAGATGCCGCGCCGACCCCCAACTGACGTTGAGCAAACGTTTGCTTGGGAGAAGCCAAAACAAGATTGGCGCAAAGTTCCATGCGAAGCATGTCAGCGGGGGCACGGCCATTTTCCAGCATTCTGGTCCTGTATTGGATGTCCAACTCATAGCGGTCCATGAGGCCATGGTACCCCTTTCTCGTGGCGCTCTTCAACATCTTCTTCGCCTCTTGGATTGCATTGCTATCCGAGGATGTGATCCCTCGGACCATGTCCATTCGAGCCTCCTTGCGAAGGTCGCTGGTGCAGGCGGCCAGACGAGCGGATGCCAAACTCATGGCTCTCTTTGAAAGGGGAAATGACGGAAGGCCGAAAAGGCAAAGTTAAAAGGGCAAGCTGAGTCTGGCAGCGAGACATTCAGGAACCAGGGGCAATTTCTGCTGATGCGATTTCAACTCAGATGATGGGCGCTTAGTTGTATTTCTAACTGCAAAGCAAAAAGAGACTCAGACAAACTCGTTTAGCCTGGTCCGTTACTTTGCAATTGCCAAAGTCACTCCCAAACTTTTCCAGGCTTCACAACGACCCAGGTGCCAACAGCCCAAAATTTCACTTGGGGACAATTTGGCCAAGTGCGCGAGCCCGCAGCAAGAGATACGTTACATGGCGAAAGGGAAGAGAGATCCATCAACAAAGCCACAACCAGGTACGCTCCAAACCTGGATACTCCAGAGAAAAAGACGAGCCACCCATGTGCTTTTGGCCCCGACGGGCATTTCTTCCAACCTCAGGTTCCCCGCCTTTCGTTTTTCGGCTACGACATGTCGCCCGGACTTTCCAGGCACGGAACGACCACACGGAACGACCCGCCTGCAAACAGGAGCACCAAGCTGCACCACTTCCGCGGGCCGAGGGTATGTCCAAAGACCCACCTCGCTCAAAACCCAATGTGAGCACGCAACCCACGGCTACAAACCTGCTACTTGAAGAACCTACAAAAAGAGTGAGGTGGGCAGCAAAACCCGGGTGTTGCACCTGCTACTCCTCGAAAACGAGGTTTTCGGTTGAAGAGCCTCCTGAAACCCGTACAACAACCGTACAAAACCCATATAAAAGCAGTACAAAATGCGTATTTTCCGTATGCTTTTTAAAAACCAGGTTGTGTTTCGGATCCTGATTTTTTGTAGGATTTTGGAGTAGTAAGAAGGTTTATAGAAAGAATCGGTTTTGGGCGCGCCTCCTTGTTTCGCGGCTGTCAAAAAGCGGACACCAAAAGGAAACCGTAGGGAAACCACTCGCTCCGGGGGGGGGCGGAGGTTCGGTTTGGCAACAAACCTGCCAAAGTCAGAGCCACAACCCCGCATCGCAAGAACTTGCTTAACACACGCTGTGAGTTCGAACTGAGAAGGGGCTCTTCAGCGCCTTGAGCCACTCGAACAAAGCTTACCCTTGGATAAAGAGCTAGTGGGAAACGGCTTGGGGAATACCCCTCCAAATTCTAGGACAGCAATCCCCATGTAGAATATGTCCACCATTTCGGGTAGGACTGCGTTGGCACCTAAAACGAATGAACGAGGAATTGCCAAAAAGATGTGGCCGTGGCCGTCCCACTGGTCCCGGATGACAAACATGTGACCAAAGCAGAAATCTGGCGCAGCCTGGCCTAGCGTCCTCATGCAACCCTTCCGCGAAGGCGCTGGCGCCCTCTTGTGGCTTGTAGCCAAAGCGAATGGACGCAAACGCCTTTTTGGGGTTCCATCGTGGTCAAGTTGTCATGCATCCCTCAAACCCGCACGGGCAGAAGCTTCATCACAGGGTGGCTCGTTTTACCCCTGAGCTCATCACAAGTTGCCCAGCTCATTGGAGACAACCCCCCCGCCATCCCCAGCCATTTGGATATGTCTCAAAAGAGGCAACCCACAGAAGCATTGGTTTGCTGGTCTCCCTTTAAACCAACCCCGAAAACACAATATTTTGAAATGAGTTTCCTTTTGGTTTCTCTTTGAACCCAAAATAATTGCATAATACTGTGGATGGGCGAAATTCTGCATTACCTAACAAACCCTGAAATAATGATTCCCCTGTGGATACCAACAAACACTGGTTGTTCACGGAATCAAAGTGGTGCGAAATGGATTTCGTTCATCCACAGGAGAGCATCCCATTGTTGATGTCCAGTCTCACTCAAGGCCCCCAGCCACCACACAAGGCCGGTGGTCAGGATCTTGCCCTGCGCAACGGGCAAAAACACTCGGCCAGTTCGAGGGCGTGTCCTCTAGAAAACGGTTTGGAGCTGTGCTTTTTGTGGATGTCACTGATTCTCCTGGCTCCTTTTTGTTTAGTACTCTGTTCGTACTCTTTTAATCTCCTACAGGGTTCCAAAAAAGCCACATCCAAACCGTTCTCTAGATTTCCGATGGGTTTTCGAGGTATGGAGGTTACATAACACTTGTTCAAGCTTATGTTTGTTTTATTTTCATGGCGAAATCTGTACTTGACCTTGTCCAAGTGCTGCACCTGCCATGCAAACTCATGCGAGTGGACCCGTGCCAACGCGCTCGGCTCATTGACGCGCTCCGAACGCGCTCTAAGACGTCGCGATGAGGCCAGCTTGCGAGCATCGCAGAGAGTTGCACTTGTTGGGCCTTCGATTCCCCCACAAAACACGGTGTCTTCTGTCAGAGAGCTAGCTTTCAGTTATTTGTTCTAAACTTCCGATGAGTATACATGTTGGCAGAGATGCATATATATATATATATACATACCAGGTGCCTCCTCAAGCAAACAAATTCTTGCCTGGACCAGAACCTGCTCCGTAGCCGGGTCCATGTGCTGATTGTTCAGCATGTCCAGGTTGTTGTTCAGCCTAGGGCTTCGAACGGCGGAATCCTCACCTCCCTAAGGAGAAAAGGCGTTTTCAGCCTAAGGGGTTGCCTGCGGCTCCATTACCCTTTGTGGAACAAAGGGATGCCCTGAACCAGGTCTTGCATTCCTTGAGTCCCCTCAAGAACTGATTCTCTTGGCCCGCATCTGCACACAGAAAATCGTAAAACCACACTTGTTGGTTCTGTTGCATAACGTTGACCCCGGATGAATAAACCCGCCCTACTAATGGGTCCAAAAGTGATGAACCCCCCACTAAAAGGGGATACCCCCCTATTAAAAGGGGTTCATTCATCTGGACTTCCCGTTATTTAGCCAGCCCTAAAGTCCAAAAATGGTTTGGAAGGAGCCCCAGTGATGCAAGGTACCAAGGCATCAACGAGCGGCTGTTGACCATACACTCCCGGCTCAACTTGACCTCCAAGAAACCAACCATACATACAAGAAAGTGGTTGCCAAACACCCACCAAACAAAGGGTGGTCTGGCAGCTCATGCTTCTTTGAACCCAGGGTGAGTTGAATCCAATATTACATATAAAGTCGGTTGATCACCAGGCTTAGGTACAACCACTCTAAGATACGGCCCAAAAGGCTACAAGAGTCCCAACCCAGCCTTCCATATCTTCAGTAACTTTCCACGTTCTACCCCCCCCCCCCACACAAATTAGCGGCCTAAAATACCTTGACACAACCAAGTGCCCTGGGGTCCCCCCATCCCCAACTACCCCAGGGCTCATTCGACCGAGAGATGCCCAGCTCCATCTGGAGATAAATCGCAAGGAACCCGGACTTACGACCATGGTTTTGGTGGGTTACAACCAGGGCTACCAGCCATTTGGCTAAAGCCCAGACCATCTAAGTAACGCCGTCCTTCAAAACATTCGCGCACACACACACACACACCGAAGGACATACACACACATACACCTGAAATAAGCAATCCAGACGTAAGGAACCCTTATGACTCACGTGTGAAATCGGGTCACGCGCACATAGGCACGCTGGTGAGGCACCGATTTGGAAAACGTGCCCTGAAAAAGTGAAGGCGGGTGAGCAGTCATTTTGGGTGAAAGGGAGGTGGGTTTCGAGCAAGACATGAGCCGTTCACATGCGGACGCTGAGTGAGCTGTCCATGTCTCTCAAGTGATCTTCATTTGACAGGAAACTTTGACGAATTGGAAGGGACCTGCCGTCCCTGAAGCTATAACTTCCGTGTTTGTGGTGCGAATCAATCCAAACCCAGCTGCGTTCGAGTGGAAGGACAAGCCGGACCGCTCGGGGCCCGGCGAATAGAGCACTGATGGGAGGGCGAAGGCTAGCCTCTCCGAAAGCGGCTCGAGGAACGGAAAATCAGGGTTGCTTTCCAGCCCCAAACGCCTCCGAAAGGGGCCACTTGAGGAACCTGCCCAAGGAACGGTCGCAAAGCCTCCAAATGTCACGAGAGTTGGGACCCATTTGGAGGCCTAAGGATTTTCATTGGAGGCTAAGGGATCACAAGGGCACCGTGTCAGGTTTTTAGATTGTTGGGGCGTCGTATTTCAAAATGATGAACATAACCCGAAATCAGTGATAGAAAGTGGTTGATTCCAATCCAAAAATGACAGATCATGACGGTAGCTTTTCACTTTGAAGAGGTTGCCCTTGGCCACCTGTTTCATTTGCCAACAAACATTCTACCCGCGGTCCGAATAGATTTTTTGCTGGAGTGTCTGGACTTTGGAGACGTCCTCAAGCCGGGTAGTTGCAAGTTCGAGTCTTTCCAAACATGGCATATGCTAGAGGCTTTTCGGAGGAGGGGGGGCATAAATAGAAATTGGGCACTTCCTAAAAAAATCCTAAACAACCACCCTTGAAGTCTTGATGCATGTTTCAACCCTCATCTAACAGCCTCCCCTTTGAAGTGTCTGGATGTTCAACCACAGTTTCCCTGCACACACCCACCCCACCCCACAATCAACTTCCACCCCCGTCCACCCCCAATTTTGACCCCATCGTGTGGTCCAACCCCTTTCCACCTGGAGCCCCAAAGCCTTCTGCCAATCGAACAGCCGCCGACAACAGATGGCGTGCTGGACATAAGAAATGCTCCTTGCCTCCTCACCTGTTACCCCTCCCCGCAAAGGGTGGCCACATACCACGTGGTGATTCCAAGACGTTCCCGTTTCGTGGATTAAATCCTTTCATGTGAGGCACAGTGGGAACGCTTTTTGCATCTTCAGCAGCCCCAGCGCAACATCGCCAGCATCACCACAATATCTGGATGACATTCTGCAAAAAAACACAGGGGAATGTTCAGCCATTACGACGCTTAGGTGTCAATGCTGAAAAATCTTAACGGCTTAAACAATTGAACAGCTTAAGGGCTTAAAAACTGAAAAGTGTCAGAACACTAATAGCTTAAAACCTGACCATCTCAATGGAGGCTATTAACATCTTAATGGCTTAAAACGGCTGAACATCTTCAAATCTGAGTGGCTTAACGTGTTGAGTAATGATGGCTGAAATCTTAAGAGATTAATGGCTGACCGCCTGAAATCTAAGTGGATTGGACTCTGAAACATCTGAATGGCTCACAATCTTAAGAAGATGTGCGGCTTAGAGTGTTAACATCTGAATGGCTTCAAGCATTTGTGGCCCCGACCACCCAGCATGGCCGTCCTGCACATGCCATAGCACTCCTCCCCCTCCAAAGGCGAAAGGGCCACAACTTTCTGAGTCGTGGCCTTCACCATCAACGCGTGGTTGCCGTGCTTCCCCCGCTAACCCGGTCGCGCTCCGCCTTGCCAGTCGCTGTCCGACCAGGCAATGATCTCCGGCACCATCAGGCCCTTTTCGCGGAACACCTTCTTGAAGTACGGGTGCAGCAAGTAGCGCGCCGCCCTCTTCAGCTTCAGCCAGTCGCTCTTGCTTGGCGACCTTATCTTTGATCACCACATGGCCCATGGCCTAAGTCAGGCCTGTCCTGGCTGAGGTCGGCCATCCGCGCAGCTCCGGACTGGTCCACGATGACCATGTCCTTCACACCTGCTTCTTGTCGGGCATGACGCGTTTCGCGTTTGGTCTTGTCGTTTCACCCGAACGCCTTCAGCAGATATTCGAGTCTCCTCCAGTTTTCATTTTCCATGCCGTTCCATCCAAGACGTGCCTGATCAGCCGGTTCAGGAAGAACAGCTCCTTGTCATCTCCAGGACCATCCCCCATCTTCGCCCCCCACCTCGCCGTGTAGCGGGTGTTGAGTATCTTGTCCAGCTCGTCCAGCCTCCTCATCCGCCGCCCTCGCCGTGAAATGATCCCACGCACCGTACGGCTCCATGCCCGCGATCTAAACAGGGCAAGGCAGAGCGGGCTGAACTCAGCTCCCTTCTCGCGCTGGAAGATGTGACCCAGGTCTTGAGTCCCGTACATCGACCTGGTTCGTCGACCCTAGCTTCTTCCAGGACGCCACTGCAGCACCTGGCCGCCGCCCCCAAGCTGGCCCCACTTCCTCGTGTCTTCCAGGGCTGCCTTGCCGTTGCCCAGCTCCAAGTAGATGCCCCCCTTTTGTTCAAGGGAACGAGGCCCTTGTCAGCATGCCAGCCCATCGCCCGCTCGTAGGTCCTCCATCCCCTTGCACACCGGGTGGTCCAAGAGCATGATCATGCCACCGCCCTTGAATATCGAAGTGCAGCGCGTGCGCTCACCAACACGTTACGCACGTCTGCGCATTCCTGCTGAGGTTCCTCTTGACTCCCTCAACGTCGTAGCCCACCACTCCGAACGAGTTGTTCTTCTCCTGCAGGTCCTTTTGACACCGCTTGGGCACAGCGCGCCCGTTGCACTTCCGCCAACGTCCTCCACGGCCCTTGCTGCCTGCTGCTGAGCCCTCACCTTTCTCGCAAAAGCCTCTCCCTCAGGTTCCTCCTGATCCTCCAGTGACGAAGCGCCTTCGCACTCTTTGGGCTTGCATTTGAGGAAGCTCCTTTTTGCAGTGGCCCAACAAGCTTTGTTCAGTTGTGGCAGTTGCAATCAAACTTCTTTGGGGAGCCTTGCCAGATCCTGGGGACGTCGGCTTGCCACCTGTTCCTCCTCCGCTGGGCTTCAACCAACAATCTTTCCTACATGGCCCTTCTTCCCGCAATTATCGCATGTCCCCTCAAACCTGGCTCCGGCGTTCCGCCCTTTTCCTCCCTTTCCTTTGTCTTTGACCAAATTCACACCCACCGCCTTCACCAGCGAGTCAACGTCCATGGGGACAGCTTCTCCTCCACCTTGTTCTTGTTGAAGTTGCTGCTCACCAACATCTTGCTGCCCGTCTTCGCCTCCATGAACGTCACCACCTCTGCCTCCATCTCCTCAAAGTTCCTGAACCGGGAGGCATTGAGAAGCAGGTGCATCTCCATCTCCTTCGGGACCAGCTTCTCCAAGGCGTTCATCGCCAGCGAGTCCGACAAGTCCCAAAGGGAACTTTCCAATGGGACAATTCCAAAGGAAGACTTCCAATGGGAAAATTCCAAAGGGCGAAATCGATTTTCACAAGGCTGGCTCGAGGCTGCAGGCGCTCTGCTCCTCAAGCCCAGGCTTGAAAGGGACAGGGGTTCAAGCCCGCAAATGGCGGGTTTGGAGCCGAACCAGTGGTTTGCAGGGGTGGGTTCCCATTTATACTCAAGAGCCAGGGGATCAGCTCATCCAAACCACCAATTCAGGGCAACCTGCTTGTCTTCGGGATCGGTTTGGATGAGTGATCTGCCCATAACCCACAACCAGAAGGCCAGGGAATGGCTCTGCCCCCACATGTGTTTCACTGTGTCTCCACTAACGTCAGCAATGTAGGCCTGTCTCTGAAGGGAAGCCACAGAATGGGAGAGGTTTCCTGGAATTCCTTTCAAGCCAAGGTGGTTTATGGGTGTCCCCAACAAAGACACGGCCATATTCAGCTTTGTCACCGAGGCGCCATGACCATCCGGATTTGCCCACAACGTCCTTCAGCGCCTCGCGATGAAACAAACGATCCCGGTGTAAACTCATGGGTTTAAGGCGAACTGGGTCAACTGAACCATGTCCGTCTCCTCTGAGGGATCCCAGCTTGTTTACGCAAAAAAAGCGGTGGATTCCCTGGCTGAGACTCAACATCCCAAGACCTGAAATGCAGAGAACTTCACTGTTTCAGCAGTTCAACATGACGTGGCCGATCCTCCAAGGGCCGAATCCAACCGCCCTTTTCAACCATTGTTATTTTCAAGATCCAGCTGTTCCCGTGGTTTTCTGATGATGTCCTGCAAAGAAGGATCCCTGGAAAGAATGGGGAAGCCTCCCCTAGAAAAACCAATGATGTATCCCTTTGGAAAACCACTGGGGAATTCCTGATTTCTGTTGGGAGACTTTTCACAGCCCAGCAAAAAAAGATCAGAAAGGGAACCTCGGATTCAAAAACAGGTTGATAGGGGGATGGTCCGGACGTTCCCTTGTGGCGGTGAAAATCAGTTTTTGAGGTTCAACACCCCCCCTCAGGTCTATTCATTCGTGATCATTTTCCAGGGGTCCACGAAATATGCGGGGTCTGCAAAGGATATTCTGTTAAAGGGATATATCAGGACCCCCCTAATTGGTAATTTGGATTGGTGGTTTAGGGATTTGAACCCTTCGTTCTTGAGGGTAAATGGCAAGCCACCCCCCTAATCCAAACCACCCATCAGTGGGAGGCTGATGATGCCGGTGGCTCCTGGGTTTCGCCACCAGCCGCGAGCGCTTGCACGGCGCCTGCTGCGGGGACAAATCCTCCGCCAGCAAGAAGCCGACACCTGGGGCTCGAAGGAGGGGACGGGTCTCAAGTCTCAAGTCTGGGACATGCGAGCCCTCCCCTTGCAAAAAAAAAGCCATGGCCCCAACCAAAAGAACGGGCCCCAAAAAGGTTCCTGGAACCCCACGACTCTTGGTTTTTGGAGGGTCCCATGATGCTAAGGGAAAGATCATGTTTTTGGTCGTTCCATCTTAAGCAGCAGGGGAGTAGCCTTCAGGGCCCTTCCTAAGGATCACAAGCCCCATCAGAAGGGAATGGGATTTGATTTGGAAGGGGTGGGGACTCAATAAAGCCCTTTGGATGTCCCAGGATCCTTGAGCACCATATTTCGCAAACAAAAACAAAAAAACTAAAACCAGTGATAGAAAGTGGTTGGTTTTTCACGTTAAAGACACACTCGCATAAAGTGATGTCCTTTCCACAGGGAGATGCCTATATCTTGATATTTCCACGACAAGCACCTCATCCAAAACAGCTCACTTGGGTATGGGTCGGAATAGGGATACCTGAAAAATTGTGTTTTTCCTTTTGGCTTCCCTTGTTCGGCCCGCTTTTGGTTTTCCTTCCACGAAAAGATTTCGGAAAAGATTCAGACCTTTGGGTTTATGGCTGGAACTTCCCGGAAGGAACAATTCGTTTGCAGAATCTAGTTATTTGCCCTTGTGAGGAAAGGTAAAAGGATCTTGCCTTCCTTTTGACCCCCCCGAGCACCCCCGCAGAAAGAACAGCTGTCGGGCATCGTTTTTTCCGACGAGGGAAGCCAAAACAGGGGTGCTCAAATTTGACCCCCCCTGAAAAAAGAAAGCCAAAGAAAACTGTTGATCACCTTTGATCCTTGTGGTGTTGTCATCTTGCAAAGGCTCGTCTGACTGGTCAAGAGTCAAGTCCCTTGCGTTGATCATACAAGGGCGATTGCTTCTTGGATCAGTGCGGAGGGTACATGGTGCCATTGAGAACAAAGAATGGTCGTGTTTGCGGGGACAAACAATTGCGCCTGTCCAACTCATTGAGTCAAGGCCCCCAAAAAAAGCTTTCGTCCTTTGCTTCCAAGTCTTTTGACTTAAATGTTGGGAGGATTGTTTTCAGGACACACCCCGTCTCACTTCCTGAGTGGATTGAAAAACAACACGCCCAAACTCTGGTTTGCAACTAACATGGTCTTCCCAAGCAGTATGCAAGCGCTAAGGGGGGCGGGTACAAGGGGGATGGGTAGTTGAGAGCCCTAGCATTCCTTGGGATTCCCTAAGTTTCCTTCGTGAGCCTTGGGGAACCCCCCTTCCCTTGGACCACCCCTTCGGGACTTCCGGGAAGCCTGCCACCCACCCCCAGGAAAGGAGCCTTCCCAGATTCGGGAGGAAACGTGCGGCTCGTGGTGGGAAATGGATGTGTGACAGCGGTTCGGAATGAACACGGTGATGTAACTTGCAGAGTAACTTGTGTGGACCCGTTCTTCTCCACGACCCTTCTCTTGAGTCATGCCCACCTGATACCGGGGACCCAAAAAAGAACAACATTATCCTTGTGTGGATATCCGCACCTGTTCTTTGTATTGCTGGGACTGTCCCCGCAAGCTTCAAATGGCCATGGGTCGAAATCCCGTACCCCCAGTGAACATCCCAATCCCCACTAAAATAGGTTCTACAATGGGTGGTGAATTCACCTACCCAAAAATGGGATCCCGTGGGTTTTGACCACCACCGCCAAATACCTTAGTTTTGAAGAGGCTCAGTTTCAGTGGACTATGCCTCTCCTTCACGTCATCCAGGACCAAGGCGCTAAAACAAAGCTTGGTGAATTCCGCCAGGAGCACCACGCTCGGCAGGGAATAGCCATAGGAGCCTGCCCAACGCTTGGCTTGGAGCCGGTTGGGGAAATTAGGTATGTGCACCTTGAGATGGATGCGTGTGGGTTTTTCGAGGGTACCCTTTTCTTCTTGGTTTAGTAGGAGACCCAAAAGAACAATGACTTGTTTTTTGGAGGGGGGGGGGGGGGGGGGCGGAGCACATACCCATGTAGTTGTTGTGTATCCCATTAAACCCCTGGCGCAGCGGGGTTGGGGTCGCCGTTGACACTTCGAGGTGATTTAGGTCCAAACCCTCACAAAACAACCGCCCCAAACCAGCGGTCGCCCAAAAAAAGGCCGCATCCACCAGAGGGAAGAAGACATGTTCGACCCTCGGGCCTGGCCACCTACCCCCTGAAAAAGGAAAAAGGAGCCTGATTCAGAGTCACCGCTCCGGGCGTTTGGGGCAGAGGACCATGAGCAATACAACTGTGCAAAGCTCTTGTTCTCTGAAGAGCGGGGCGATTTGGTCCCTGCCGTGTTACGCAGGCTTCGTCTTTGTAGCCCCCTCTGGCGTGTGGATGAGTCCTTGTCTTGGGGGACTCTGTTTCGGATGCATTCTGCTTGGTTCGCCCAGTTCAACCGAGTGAGTCCAAGTAAGCTTTATTTTGGTTTCCACGAACCTTGACGGGTTTGAAGCTGCCATTTGCTTAAGTCGTCCCCAAGACAAATACATACATTTCCAGTAGCGATAGATACCCTTTGAAAACCAACAGAGAGAAACAAAACAACATATTCCTCATCAAATGGAAGAAAGATTAAGCCTCGATGTTTGGTTTTACCACCCACCCTGGCCCCACCGTCCCACCTCAGCTTTTGCCCGCCACCAGATTCTGGTCCATATGGAGCGAACCTTAAAATCCACCAACATTGTGTGTATTGTTCTTTCAAAGATGTGGTTCAATTGTGATAAACTCTACACTTAAAACGATGTCCGCATTGTAAGAAGTCCAAACCCTTCCATTTGGCGAAGTCCCCAGGAAAAAATAGGAGGAAAAAGAAAAACAACTGTAGTCATAGATTCCCTTTAAAACCAACAGGGGAAATATACAAATGCGAAAAGGGAAAAAGTCGGCAACTGGAAGAGACCTCTGTCAAACAAAATCACGCCGTCAAATTCCGATCCGCGCCATCCGGGGACTTGGACAGCTGCGACAAGATCCCCAGCAGCGCGTAGCCTGGGGCGCAAGTCTGGCGACGTCGGGCCGAAGATGCTCGAAATCGAGGGTGTCTGTCCGTGTCCCGATAAAAGGGTGCCCTCAAAACACACATATGTATGTATGTATATATATATATACATACAGATATATATATATATATGCATACATACATACATACATACATACATACATATATATATATATATACACATACAGTATACGTGTACACATACATGAAACAACATGCCTCTGGCAACATATGCCAGCACTGCTTGGGTTAAAACAAACTACCCCTGCAAATCATGCCGACGCAATCTGGGCTTAAACAAACGAACAAACAAACAAACAAACAAACAAACAAGCAAACAAGCAAGCAAGCAAGCAAGCAACAAAGCAAGCAAAGACAAAGAATACAGGCAAAAACAGTGAACAAATAACACGCGCCGAGAACTCCCCGATTTGAAGGAAAAGCAAGAGGAACTTGTCTTACCAGGAATGGATCGGTCTTCAACCACTGACGAAATATCGAAATATCCACTGTAGGCAGGTTTGTGAGGTAATACTGCCTTGTTGACGAACGCAGTAGGTTAAAACTCAATCCAAAGAGCAAATACAAGTGCGTCCCTCGTTGAGGGTACCTTTTTTTCCGGTGGCTTTAAATGGAAACCAAAGGAACACAGAAGCCATTTTCAGGGCTCATGACCATGGGTCCCCGTGGTTGTTTTGCTGAATTTTTGCGAGTCCCCCCTGTTCGAGCGCTAAATTGCCACAATCGTCAAGTGGCTGACGGATATTCTAAGCCAAGTAAGTGCGGGCTGAGGTGGATACCCACGAAATACAAAAGATACCCGGGCAAAAATCCCACTTCACTTGTAATTCGTGCCCTTGCGGTTTATCTGGGGTATCTCGCCACGGTCCAGCACTAGCTAGAGAGGGGGATGAGATGCAACCCCTATTTTAGAGGTACTGTGGATGGACGAAATCCTGCGCCACTTGGAAACCACGGGAACCATAGTTGGTTGGTATTTACAGGGCAGGGTTGCTTAGGTAGCGCGAACGGATTTCGCAACCATCCACAGTATGGCTTCCGCATCAGGCGAGACCACTGTGAGTGTCTAGGCAAAAATAGGGTAACCCCACAATGGCTTGCCCTGGTAAATGTAAAAGACTAAAACCTGGGGTCCACTTCCTGGTGGCTTAATTTTGACCCGCACCCCCATGGGTTTCCACGCCAACCATTCCCATGCGGCGTGCCTTCCGTCGCGCGCCTCTCTCTCTCTGCCGCCAAGCGGCACAAGGCGCCCAGGCAGAAGAGCGCCACGCCCAACACAGCCCTGAGCCTCGGGGTCGTTGGCTGAGCTGGTAAGTTGGCAACCCGGGGTGTGACCTACCAGGGGGTGATGAGTTGCTCTTCTGGGGAAGCATCGAAATGGAAAAATGGGTGTTCTGGTGGTTTTCCCTTAAAACCAACCCAAAGCGGGGTCACCAAAGAAGGTGACACCCACCTGATCTCGGACCTTGAGGGTGAACATGTCAGGAAATGGGTGGGCGAAGTACAAAGAGGGACCCCGCTTGAAAGGGGCAAAGAGAAAACACGTACATCGAAAGGCCGGCCTATGTCAGGCCAATCAGTGGGGTCCCCTCATTTGATGATCAGTTTGCTGGCAGTTTCCAATGAAGCTAGAATTGTTTCGGGACCACAAGGGTGGAGCAACAATTCGACCCTTTCCAAAGGAAGGTGCGCGATCTGTAAGCTCCGTCTTCGGCGCGGCTAGACAACTATTTCGAAGCACTGGTGGCCCAATTTGCCCTCCGTTAGACAATGCTTGTAGAGAAGGGCCACAACCGCCAAAAAGCGATCACTGTTGAGGCCCTATTGTCGGACAGCCAAAGCAAGTCAATGCGCACGCGACGAGTCTCGCCAGCCTTACGTTGAGAGAGTCGGGGAAAGGCAATATGCGTCCAGTACAAGCAAAGCTATACCAGCCAAACCAACCAACCCAACGAAGGGAAAGCCGCAGGGTTACACCCCAAACCAGGCAACATTTGCAGTCTGACCACAACCAAACGACATGAAAAGGCCCATAGAAAGCTGCGTCCCATCTGAAATTCAAAGCTGCGGCCACATCCAGCCAAGAGCTTCAGCCAGGTCAACAGACCCCAACATCAAGCCGAAAAAAGGCATGCATGGTCCGCAACCAAACTGGATGTTGACAGCTCACTGCCAATGGTGAATAAGCCGACTTCTGCCCCAAAGATCAAATATTCCATCCTCGATTCACACGCACAATCAAAGTCCCCGAAGGAAACAGGAATGCTCCTCCCTCCTCGGAACCAAGCGATACCCAGAAACAACACTATATTAACAAATTGGGGTTGATTAATCTGGGTTCAAGAATACAAGGGCTGCGTTTCTTTTCAACAGCAACTCGACCCTCCACTTTCAGGCCAAAAAAAAGAAAGAAAACACCCCCGCCCAGGCTTGCAGCCAGGGTTCCTTGCACAATTTATTTGAACCAAACACTTGGCCCCTTCAAAAACGAAGCCAAAAGGATGCTGTTTACCCTCAAACATGGCTCTGAGGGTTGACACCCCATTCTCTTCATCGTGTTCTTCTGAAACCTTCTGGCCATCTGAAGAGAAGGATCCCTGAACTCGAATGGAAAGGGCACCAACCCCTAGACTGTACTGTTGTAAGAACACAATTGAGTAGAATGCGGCTCTTGGGCCCTAAGCAAAAATCAAATCATGGCTGCGGAATTATGGTCAGTAATATTCAGTGGATATTCCCCACGGTGGGGAAAGGGCCCCAACCGCTCGATTGGAAGGGCTTAAACGAATAGAAAGTCATGACTGGAAAGTGCTTTTAGTAATGGGAAGCCTGGAATAATAAACCCATCCTCTGTATATATATATATATGTATGCAGGGGTCACCCAGTAAAGTGATCCGGATTCCCACTAAAGGGGGACACCTCTGTACCAACCAAGGTTTATCAATCCGGGGCAACATTAACCCCCATTTGCTTAAGTCTGGAAAAAACCAAGAATATGTCCAGTGATGATGGATTCCCTTTAACCCCAACAGGGGGAAATACCACATAAGAAACATTCTTAAGGAAATGGAAGCGAATTCAGCCCCTCATGTCGCGTCTTACTTCCCGAGACCTTTCCCTTACGCCCCCGGCATGTTCGGTCCGCGTGGGTCCGCTGTCCGCGGGAATGCGGGAACCCCGCGAGCCGGGGTGGCGTATTAGGAAAGCTGCTGTGCTAGGTGTCCTTTTGAAATCCGCCGACCCCATGCCTGGTCCAGAATGGACCATGCTTTCGGCATGGGGGCGGTGTGTTCTGTGTTGCTTTTGTTGATATGCTTTCTATAAGTTTAATGTGAATATGATTATGTAGATATATATATATATATAACCTATATGTCCCTTGGGGCGGCCCTTGGGGCTGGTTTCTACGTCGGCTGGATTTCTGGATTTCTGGATTTCTGGATTTCTGGATCTCTGGATTTCTGGATTTCAGGAATTCTGGATTTCCCCACCCCTCCCCCCCCTCCCCCCCCCTCCCCCCCTCTCCCCCCACCCCCTCCCACCCCGGGCTTCTTCCCGTAGTCTTCCGTAGTCTTCCGGCTTCTCCCAGTAATCTTCCGTAATCTTTCGGCTTCTTCCCGTAGTCTTCCGTAGTCTTCCGGCTTCTTCCCATAGTCTTCCGTGGTCTTCCGCCTTCTTCCCGTAATCTTCCGTAATCTTTCGGCTTCTTCCAGTAGTCTTTCGTAGTCTTCCGGCTTCTTCCCGTAGTCTTCCGTAGTCTTCCGTAGTCTTCCGTAGTCTTCCGTAGTCTTCCGAAATCTTTCAATCTTCCCGTAAATTTCCGCAATCTTTCGGCTTCTTCCCGTAGTCTTCCGATACTGTTTCGGGACCAAACAACGCGCGTGTCCTGTGCTTTCGGGCTTCTTCCCTAGGCTTCGGGTAGTCTTCCCCCACCCCTCCGCCCCCCCCTGTGTCTGTCTATGTCTGTCTACGTATCTGCATCTGTCTTCGTGTCCGCGAAGACCCCCCCTGCCCCTGCGTGTCTGTCTGTGTCTCTTTGTGTCTGTCTGTCTGGGTCTGTCTGCGTCTGTCTTCGTGTCCGCGAAGACCCCTTGCGTGTCTGTCTCTGTCTCTTTGTGTGTGTCTGTGTCTGTCTGTGTCTGTCTACGTATCTGCGTCTTTCTTCGTGTCCCCCCCCCCCCGCGTGTCTGTCTGTGTATTTGTGTCTGTCTGGCTCTGTCTGCGTCTGCCTGCGCATCTGCGTCTGTCTTCGTGTCCGCGAAGACCCTCCCCCCCCGCTGCGTGTCTGTCTGCGTGTCTTTGTGTCTGTCTGTGTCTGTCTACATATCGCGTGCTTTCTCTCGTCCCGGGCCGAAATTCTAAGGTGTGTGGGGGCGGCGGAACCAGGCCGCAGGCCATTAAATAGATGGGTATGTCTCAAAATAGGACCCCAAAGTAGTGGTTGTCCTTTTGGTTTCCCTTTACGACGTTTGCATGGGTACCAACTTCAAAGAACGAGGCCAATGGATTTCACTGGATGCGAAGCAAACTGAGACCAGCGTTCCAAAAAGGGGACCTGCGCATCGGTTAGTAGGTTCGCGGAACCACGTTGCACTGGGCCGGCCTTTGAAGGCAAGCTCGGCGAACAAACGGGAGGATCAGAAATGATCAAGTCTCTATTCGGACTAAACATATGATGTGTTGCTAGTTGTGACCGTGTCCCTTCAAAACCACAAAAGCAAGGAGGAAAACCCCTTTGAGCAATGGAAGACTTGACATTCCTGTTAAACATCCCTCCTACCAGTAGGAGACTCAACCAAGAGTAAACAAAGATGATGTTTGGTTGCCCAGAAAGGGAATTACAATCTTGCGTGGTTTCTGTTGTCACATATGGAGACGCAAACGAGTGGGTTCATGTTGAGCTACCTAAAGGTATCATTCCCAAGACACAACTCTTGGGGGCGGCATTTCACCAGGATCCAGGGTTCCAATGATACCATGGGAACCCCAAACCGGCAAATGTGGCTCGCATGGTGTCACTCACCAACCTCAAGGGTGCTTGAACCTGTGCTGCGGTCACATCCAGCAGTGAGTTTCAGTTCAAGCGTCCACCCACTTCCACTCACCAACCTCAGTAAGGCTTCCTTACCTTGTCCTCAGAGCCAAATATGAAAGCCCAACCACTGGACCAACTAAAAAGATTTAAATAGCTAAGGAACCGGATGGCTGGGAGCCACCCAGTTAGCCCTTCTTTTCACCCTAAAGCTCTACCCTCAAACCTCCCACGCGTGCGGAACCTCTCTCGCGCTCGCAAAACGTTAAAATGTGGGTCTCAGAAAACAGGCGATGTTATCCAAGCTCCTTTCTGGTGGTAAGCTTTCTTGAAGGAATGGGCGCCCGACATTAATAAACTCCTGGTTGATCAACTCCCATTTTAAAGGCACAACTTCCCTTTTGAGGGACACACCAAACAAATACCACCATGTTGACTTGCTTGTGGCCAAACATAGTTCTAAGTAAGTAAATATGTATATATGTCTATATATATATATATGGGGGCTGTTTGACATTTTTGTTCCGATGAGTGCCTATTAGGCTCCTTTCGCGTCGCCCTTCCGCCGCTTCCGCGGTGTGGCTTTGCAGAGAGGCATACTTAGGCGCTGCAAACCGTCTGCAACAGTAGTATGCCCGGCAACCCTTATGCTTAATCAGATGCTCCTTTAAAGTCGGAACTCTTCAGTGTATGAGTGGTATGCGAAGGATTCTTTTCCGAGTATCACGCGAACAGATATGTCATGTACCTTTCCACAGGGTTAGACAAGAGACCCTTACAGGCGACAGACACCTCCACACGTTACAAAGATCACGCTGTTTCAGGCCTGTTTCAGACCTTGTTTTGACCTCCTGTCTCCAGGCCAAACACAGGCATGCATGGCACTGTTATTGGCGGGGTGGTGCAAGGACTTGCCATGCACCATGCGTAGCAGCCATCCGGGTACCACTTTCGACGGTCCTCCTGACATTTTCAACTGGGGGGCGCAACAGCAGGAAAACCAAGTTTTGAGTCAGGGCCCGCGCCGAACTGTCTGAAACCAGTTAACAAGCTGAAACCGGCTCATCTGGAGAAGGCGCTCCCTGCAAGAAGCTTGCTTTGCGCAGCGTCACGTGACCAGACATTGGTACAGATCACCATGGGCACGGCGTAGACAAACACCTGATACGCATGTTGCTGCGTCGGCGACTGGCCAAGCGTGACAGGCGTCGCACCCGCCTCAAACAACTGCCGATTCTGCAACACCAGCTCCGGCTCGCACTCGTCGAACACCAGACACTTGTGGAGCGATCGCTGAGGAGCCTTCTGCAAGTCAAATCACGCACCGCTGGCCTGATAGCCTGATAGCACAGCACGCCCCACGCGCACACTTCGCACAGGAAACGGCAAGGTCAGACCCGGCAAAGGCAAAGTCGCTCCATCAAAAAAATGCAAGTCAGACGTCCGACCAAACAATGATTGACGATTGAAGTCTCATCTTGACTCATGCATCCAAACAGTGGTTGCATCAAGTGGTTGGTTGAAGTCTCATCCTCTGAAGTGAGAAACTCGAGGCCGACAGCTGCCCGGCAAAAGCCGCTCCATCCAAACAATGGTTGAAGTTGAAGTCTCATACCCGGCAAAGTTGCTCCATCCAAACAATGGACACTGGCTGAAAAGCGAAACCTGATGGCAAAGTTGCTCCATCCCAAACGCGAACCCGACGGTCAGGATGAGGCGGCTTGGGCCAGGGCGCGCTGAAGGCGCAGCACTCGCCCCTTCAAGCCTTCACCTTCAGGCTCAGCTTCTTAATCCTTGCTTCTTGAGGCTCGCAATGTCTGCGCCATCTCGATCACCTTACCCCGCACCAAAAAATTATGCTTTGTGATCTCCGCCTTGACTTCATCGACTGACTTCCGGGCATCCTCGATTTCCGCCTTCAAGTCAGCATCCATGGCGCCCGACACGTGTTCAAACACTGAACTTGCTGGTTTACGATGATGACACAAGCTTGTGCTATCAAGTGCTCATGTTGCCACATCCTGACGCTCACGTAGCCTTAAATCAGCCCGGGCGCAATGCTAATAATGCGCAGTCCTCCGTCGGCACGGAATCTTTCCAGGCCATGTCGCCGGCAAGACATATGGCAGCAATTCCAAGTTCTGACTCGGCTGGCAGCATTGATCTCATGAGTGAACATGAACACTCACCCAAGCAAACTTCCCCGCTGTGAACTCATGCGCGTGTTCTCACAAGGTTTGGAACCCAAAACCTGTCATGTCTTCCCTCCATCGCACCATTGAAGGCTTAACAAAAAGGTGGGAAGCCTTGAAGAAATTGCCCCCGCTGTGCAACGCAGCGAGACATAGCAAGGATACCTATACCTGCCTGCAAAATGAACAAGCACAGGTGTTTCCTTGCTTTGGCCCCTTTGAAACAAACTAGTAAAAATAATGACGGTGGTATGAATAATGATACCAGTAGCAATGTAAAATTGCACAAAAGTAGTATCAGAAGTAGTAGCAATAGTAGCAGTAGTAGTAGTAGTAGTAGTAGCAGTAGTAGTTGTTGTAGTAGTAGTAGTGGTAGTACTAGAAGTTAGTAGTGGCAGTGCTGTACAAGTACTAGTAGTAATAATTATATTAGTAGTTGCTAAAAAAGTAGTAATAGTATTTGTAGTAATCGTGTAAGAATTGTAGTAGTAGGAGTAGTAGTAGCATTACTAGTAGTAGCAATAGTAAACGTAATCATAATTCTAATACTAGTAATAGCAGTAATACAAGTAGTAGTAGCAGCAGCAGTAGTTGTAGTAGTAGTAGTAGTAATAGTAGTGTAGCGTAGCAGTACTTGTTGTAATACTAGTAGTAGTAGTAGTAGTAGTAGTAGTAGTAGTCAGTAAGTAGGAATAGTAGCAGTAGTAGTAGAAGTAGTAGTAGTAGTAGTAGTACGGCCAGCACTTGTGGTTTGCCCAGAGACTCTTCTGTTCCTGGGTACTTCTACCATGATTGTCCTTACTACTACTTCCACCGACGCCATTGCCACTAATACTACTACTTCTCCTATTGCTACTACTACTGCTATAATTATTACTACTACTACTACTACTACTACTACTACTATTAAGTTCGTTTAGGGTTTAGGGTTTGGTTTTGGGGTTTAACTTGCCCTCAAACCACACGTTTAGGGTTTAGTTTTGGGGCTTAACTTGCCCACAAACTCCCACCTTAGGGTGTGGAGAGCTTCACATGTCACCTTCTAACTTTGGGCTGAGCCTAGGGTAGTCCCAAAAAATGAACATAGTGACCCATCGAAAAGCCGCACCCTGCGCAGTTGCGTTGCGCGCATCGGCGAAGGCTTGCCGATGTTCTTAGGGCAGACCGTTCGATATCAGGCGTGGGTGCTAAAACGCTGGCAAGCGCGAGGGAAAGAGGTACACAAGAAGGCCTCTTCCGCCCGCCCTTGCGCCCGCTTCCGCAAACGTTGGGTTTTGACATTTCGATTCGGGTGTTTTTATCGAGTTTCCACTTTAAACCGAAGTCAAGAGACGGGGTTTAAAAACAACCCCCATATATCCTACTACCCCCCCCCCCCAAAAAAAAAACAAAAAAAAGGAAAAAAAAGGAAGAAAGAAATGCACCGCCGCCCAAACACAGCTCCAGTTTTGGTCAAGCTCAGTCTTCCCCAAAAAAGTGTGTCGTTGCGGTCCCAAAAGAGTGATTAGCAGCCTCCAAGTACCCCGCGATCTTTTGAGTGTAGATCGGTCTATTTTGCAAACCCGGTTTTTGTCCATAGTTGGTCAGGGGTTGATTCATGTCTCATACAAGGGAGCTTCCCAAAATGGATTTAAAGGACCACCTTTTGGATAGCTTTTTGATAGGACTCCCAAGATTTGAGCGTGTATCTCTTTCGTAGATACCATGTTTGTGGTTTGATTCAAGGGACACCAAAAGGAAAACCGTTGCCATTTCTCGCGGATCCCCAAGTTCGAGAAACCCCAAGAGGAGGTGGGATGTGAGATTCGATGCTACCCTGGGCAATTCTTCGCCTCTTTCGAGTTTTCAGTTTTCCCCCGCGCGCCGGGAGAAACATGCCGGAGTTCGGCTTGAAACCTCTGCTTGGATGTTCCCCTTTGGCCAGCGTGAGGCAAACTCAGCCTTTTGCCAGAGACAGACGTGTTGAGATTCTGAACCCTTTTTTTGCGCACCTTAGAATACGAATTGCGTCAACAAAGGCCCCAGATTAGCTTGTAGCCGTGGTTACAAGGGGGGCTTACCCTAGTTCTCCCAGTTGTAACCATGCCCATGCTTACTAGCTACTTACTCAGCGAGCAGCGCGCAAACCCATTGGCTGTTGGTTCTATCAAGATGGTTGAAAAGGTTTATATAGGCCTTGCTACCACCATAAGTCCAAGAAGAACCACCTCTTGATGTAGCCCGGAACGGGTGTTTTGGGCGCAAGAGGGTTGCACATCCAAGCGTGACCACTTCGGTGTGTGTTTCCTTTTTACATATCCTGCGATGGTCCCCCCGCCAAATATTGGATTGTCCGCTCGGGGTGACTCAGCTCCTTGGCTGTTGCCCCAGCCGAAGGAGGTATCTCAGTGTGTTCCTCTTTACAGAAATGACTCAACGCTACCCCAGACCCCTTTTGCACCCTGTGGTCGGTCGATATTTTCTACAGAAATGACTTAACGCGACCCCAGGCCCCGTGTGCACCCTGTGTTTGGTGGATATTAAGTGGAAATCCCCTCTACTAAGAAGGAACCACGCAAATGCCCCACTGGAGGTCTGGCTTCCTTTTGACCACTTGTTAGCGTCCCCTCAGTAAAAGGGTCTACCCAAACCAATGCAAAGAAGCCCAAGCGCGGATATCCGCTCCTATCTATGGTTAGGACTGTCCTTATCCTTTCTACCCGAATCGCTTTTGCCTGGCTCCCATGTAAGCTGCTTTTGTACCTAGGTTCAACATCCAGGTAAGGTTTTGATCATAGATGTCCTTTTGGAAAAAACAGATTCGGGTGTTGTAGATGGCGTTTTTATTGCCCATCTCAACCAGTGGAACCCAAATCTTCTGACCAAACTCACCGACCTTATTTCCGAACCCAAGACCCGGGGAACTCAAGAGCTTGAAATCATTGGACCTTCCTCAAACAAAAATGGGACGACCGTTGGCAACCAAAAAAATGGGCTGCGCGGAAATGCTTTTACATCCTGATTCTGTTCACATTCCCCCGAATATAAAACTGTCAGTACCAGTCATGCTTGTCAGTCATCAATTCCACAATCCCTGCCCGAGAGCAGAGTGTCCCTCCCAAAAGTGCTGCAGATTCCCTCTTATGTGGGGCACCCCCCAGATCAAAATCAATGAACTGCGTTCCCAGCATGTCGGGGTGAGTAAACAAAACATCAACTTGAATCTGCTCCCTCGACGCTTGGGCTCCCCCGAGAACTTGCGAGACGCATAAGACTTCTCCGAAATCAGAGCTTCTTGACGCTGCTGAGGTCGAGGAGCCTGGCAATCAGCGGAAAGATGGTTCACGAAGTTACCCCCCCTCCCCCACCAACCCACCCACCCACCCACCCACCCACCCACCCGCCCGCCCGCCCACCCACCCACAACCCACCCACCCACCCACCCACCCACCCACCCACCCACCCCCAACCCCCAAGGAAAAGCGCAAAAAGAACTGGGGTCATTTTATGATTCCATTGCAGCTTCTCCCTCCTCAAACGCTATCCAAAGTCATCTTCTCCTTAAGTGCCTTGGATTGATTCTTGGGATTCGAGAGTTTCGGCTTCCGGGTGCCTCTCATTGAACCTGGGGATGCCACCTAGGGCAGTTGTCTTCAGAAAACTTGACACCAACATATGGGCACCCAGACAAGGTAGCAGGCGCGTCCAAGAGGGCCTTATTTTTGCCGGAACTTGGAGGCAAACGTAACTTTGGTGGCGAATACAGCGCGACCCGAGCGAGCGTCAGAGGATAGTGTGCTTTCAATCAGTTCCCTCAAGACCCACAACTTCCGTAGTTGGGTGTGCCTTGTCAAATTGTCTGAGCTTGACATCGTCTGAATGGAAATTCACGTATATTCAAAAGATTCCAGCTATCTGCGTATGTCTTCTTGTTGGGTGCCTTTTTTGGTGTTAGAAGCAACCTGCAGGAATCTTATTGGCGGAGAGCTCTCCTTGTGTCACCGCGCTCAAAGCAATCAATCAGAGTGGATACATCCGGAGTCACGGGTGTTTCTCCAAGATGCCCCCCTTTTTGGGGCCATAAAGGGAAGCCAAAAGGGAACGACCACAAACACAAATGTGGGTCGTCATTTTGGTGGGGGTTCCCCCTTTGAGAAACCCGGCATCTGGGCAGCTGGGAGTTCGCCCCCAACTTTCCGCTGGCGAATGGCACCGGTGCGAGCCGTTCGCAAATCCCCTGGTAAAATCTTGCGGCATCGACTAACATGGAACCATCTGAATCAGACGTAAGTTAGAAACCTATAGGTCATAACCCACTAAGGGTCCACTGAGCGGAGCAAACCCAGTCGTTGGTGGGTGATCACTCAAGAGGCGTTCCACTTAGGAGATTGCCCAAACATCCAAAGTGCCCAGATCAACATGGGCTTGGCAAGGGGAACTCCCAAAACGAGATTCCTCGCACGATGGTACCATCTCACCTCACCTACCGTTTTTGAAACCTGCCCCTTTTGGAGGAAGATTGTCTTCCAATCCCCGCCCCTCCAACATTCACTTCTCCGCCCAACTCTACACCAAAATTGGATGTTCAGACTCCCGTTCCCCCCCCAAAAAAACAACTGAGTATTTGTTATTTTCACAAAGAAAACAAATAACACACACCACACACACCCAAGTGCGCCCCAAGGTCCCACCTCCAGGTACCCCAGCAATCACCGGTATGCCCCCCCCCAAAACAAAAAACATCAAGAAGCCCCGCTCAGCGCGCGGCTTCAAAGGCTTCACCTCCCCGCCCAGCGCGAACTTCACGAGGTTCCCTGCGTCGACCGGGATCCGCCGCTACGCGTGTGACCGCCATGGTTCGTCTATAAGAATATGTCCAAGGAGAGGTTCCCTTGGACAAGACGCCAAAAAACGGGGTGCCACATGAAAAACACTCAAAGATGGGTGTGTATGTGTTGGAGGAATCGGACCCCAAAACATGGTGGTCGTCCTTTGAGTGTTCCCTTCAAAGCCACCAAAAAAGGAGGTCCACCACAGATAAAAAGACACACCCATATTGCATGAACCTCACATTCATTGGAGTTCCCAGAAAAAGGTAGCCGCCAAATGCAAGAGGAGCAAATGGAAAGTAAGGCGTCAACAGTTTCTGGGATGGACCGTTTCGGGATCCACATAAAGGTGGGATGATTGCCAACAAACGAAACCCACACCAACTGAATCAAAGCACAAGCAAGGCAAGGCAAGGCAAGGCAAGGCAAGGCAAGGCAAGGCAAGAACAATGCAAAGCAAGGCAAAGCAAGGCAAAGCAATTCAAAGCAAGCGAGCAGGCAAGCAAAGAAAAGCAAAGACAAGCAAGGCAAGCAAGGCAAGGCAATTCAAAGCAAAACATGCATACAATTCAAAGCAAGGCAAGGCAAGGCATGGAAATCCAATGATTTCCAAAACATCCAAGTGCTCCCAAGTCATGGTTCTTGTACCTCCAAGCCCCGGGGCTAGAAAGGTGACCCTGCCAAAGGAGCCTTGCTCATGGGGTCGCACACCACAGAATGTGGGTACGGACTGAGAGGTAGGCCGCTTGGTGCGTGGTTCGTGCCCCTCATTTGTGGCTTAGGCTGGATGGCGCTTTGATTTCTGGGATTCTTGTTGAAATCAACATCCAAACCTCAAGGGGTTCCTGAGAATCGAAAAGAGATCCCCTTTTTCATGTACTGTCCCTGACTTTGCAGGTAAGACAAGCGCACAACATGATATGTCAGACGAGTCTGCCTCCTTTCCTACTTGAAGTATTTGGGGGTTACCTACGTACGTGGCTGAGTACACTCAACATCTGGTATAAGAATCTACAGGAATCGAGAGGGATCTTACTAACCTTCACTTACCTTGGTCTTGATTGTGGCTCAAATAACCGTTTCTGTGATTTTCCTGGTGATGTGCGCCATGAAACACATTTTGAGGGAACATATGGAGTGTTCAGACAAAACCAGGCACAAGTAAGCTTGGCCCTCCAAAACAGACGCACTTATCAACCAACAAAAAGAGAGGGTCGGTTCACTCCAAAAGTCCAAGCCTGGCGCCGCTATCTTTTTGAAAATGGTCCAAACCCAACAAGTGACTCAAGTCCAGGAACCCGGGGAGTGGGGGCCACCCAACACGGATACTTATTGACATGCAAAACTATTATGAAAGTGAGAACTTCTCAAATGGGGGAACCCCCCCAAAGAAAGAAAAAAGAAGGGAAACACAAGAAACCAAGCGGTAGGCCTGTCGCTGCTGAAAACAAACATGGTTTCTGTCACAGCTGCCTCAGGCCAAGCTATTTTTGCCTGCTTTCAATCAGCTTTCAGGACAGGGGAGCGAGCTCAACTCCCACTCTAAGCTGAGACGCTTGGCCATCACCAACGCGTATGGCTGTGCGTTGGCCTTTCCAACAGAAGCTGCCATTTGCTTCAGCCCCCTGGGGAAAAAAAAACAAAAAAAAAAACAGATATTACCAGTAGTCATAGGTTCCCTTTAAGACCAACAGAAGAAAACAAAAAATACTCTTAAGCAAATGGAAGGAAGGGGAAAGAATCTGCTTGCAACATCAAGCTCATTCCCAGGAGACCCCGCAGCGCAGTTTCGGGAGGGGGGGGGGCCGGGAAAAGCACCCCGCAGTTTGGGGGGTGATTCCAACCATTCTTTTCACCCGTCGTTCTTTTAAGAAAACCAGCTGCTTCCCCCGAAAAGATTCGGATCCCTGGAAAGAACGGGCAAGCTTCCCGTAGAACCCCGTTCTTCTGCTTCCAAGGTGTCCTGTTTGGCTTCTCTGACTCTGGAGCTTTTGGCCCAACTCGTACACCTATAGGACATAGGGATTAGTGTCAGATTCTGCTGCATATTCAGTCAGCCTCAAAATCTCGGCCGTAAGAATCCAGCTCCGCTTGCTCGGGGTCCTGAAGCTTACTCTCCTGCTAATGATTAAATCTCAAAACAAACATGCAGACGATATCCCGAGGAACATCCGGCAGCCTCAAAAACCTCAAATGGCTGTGGGTCAAAAATAGGTACCCAAAATGGAACCCTGGCAAATGGAAACATGGACAGAAACCTGCGGTCCGATTCCTGGATGAATTTTGACCCATAGCCAAATCTTCGAGAGTTCTGGCGAGAAGGGATCCTCTCTCAGCCGCCTCTGGCCGCCCCCGAGTTCGGCAGCTCCACGTCCTCGACTTCGAGTTCGAGGCGGCTTTGACGACTGGTTTCAAAGCGGCAAACACGAGGGAACTGAGGAAACCCATCGAGTTGTCTGTTTGATTTTGCTCTTTTTTGTGTGTTCTATGTGTTTTTTGGCTGGGGGGGGGTAAGATTGGGTGATCTTTGAGTCAGATGTCAAGGTTGTTTCTCCTTGCTATCCCTTCCAAAAACAGCCCGGAAAGGGTCCCCCCCCCAACAAAAAACACACTCTGGTTCTTCAGCATCTTTCCTCCTCCTAACAGAAGGCAACAGTGCAAGGCTACCAGAGAGATCAACATCATGTTGAACAGCAACTTCCCTGTCGAGGAGCGGGGGGGGAACCCCTTTTTCAAGAGAAAGGGAGAGTGTTAAAGTTTGACGTCTCCCTGTATTTCCCCTTTATGTAAACATCACCGCACCAAAAGGAAACCCGCTTTGAAATGGCAGGAGATATTGAAAACGAGCAAAAGGAGGAGAACGAAAAGGACCTGCAGTAAGTGTGGGATTTGGTGGACGTCAGAACTGCGGTGTTGAGAATGGCAAAGTAAACGAAAGAACCCGAAATCCGCTCTGAACCCTTCACAAGAAAGTTGGTGCACCAGGAAAGTAGTCAAGGGATCGAGCACGCGACTCCGTGTTAAGCGGGGCTTGCCTCACGAATTTCTTTGAGGCTCCCCTCAATTGGACTTATCTTTAACTCGGGGGACTTTCAGAAAGGGTGGTTTCCCTGTGGCTTCCTTTCAAAACAAGCCAACACAGGAGACCCCAAAACCGTTCCGTCCTCTGCGCTCAGTGTTGCCCCATCGGCTGGTAGCGATGACCAGTTCTGGCCGACGCAAGGCGCTCGGGTTCTGTTAGCTGCCACAAGCATAATTTTGACCCCACATGAATCACCCCCAGTTTATTAATAGGGGGGCGTTCCCCTCTAGTGATGATTCCCCACTAAACTCAGAGACACCCCCTATGAACAAACTGGGGCTGTCTAATATGTCAACATGACGCCTCCCGTCGCCAGATCCAAGGGAACATTAGACAGGGTCAAGGCTCGGAAGCCATTTCCCCTTCTCTCCACAAGGGAACCTCGAAATGGAAACGTCATTCAATTCCGAAATTGGACCATAGGCAGCCCTGGCCGCAACGGGCACTGCTCACACTTGGGAACATGTGGACAAATTCAAACGTCTGTTTCCTAGATCCGAGCACATATGCCTGCTCAGCGTTGGGCCATGACCTAGGAGGAGGTGGGGACCCCAAAACGTGGCAAAGAACGCGGGGCAAGCCACATCCATCCACTCCAAAAAGGATCCATACAAAGCATGGTAATTCCACTCGAAGGATAACGATCCAGCAACAAGCAAAGACACTACACCGTGCCAAACCGCACCCGAAAACCCAAAGACCCAACTGTCAGGGCAAATCCCCCCCACCCCCACAGAGCCTCTGCAAGACTTGCTCCCCACCGTTGAGGAATTGTTTTGCAACTTGTGTGGCAACTGATTTGGCCTCAGGAGCACGTTCTTTTCGATCTATTAACACAAAAACCACTTAGACTTGCTTGCCCAATATGGCCGAATCAGGTCATCAAGCCCAAACTGGTTGGGGGGTTCTGGGGGGATGTGGGGGATGCGCCCAATGTGGCATGTAAAGCCCCTGACCCGTTGATCCAGGCCGGGCCCACGTACAGGGCCATGACGCAAAGCACCTGACCCGCTGGGTTTTTGGGTGCCTGCTGATTCCTGCGAGAATAGCCGCCAAAGGTGTTAAGGGTTGTTTTGTGATTCCTTTTGTTTAAGAAAACAACAAAACAGAATCAAGTTACTTCCCCTCCTTTGCAGAATGCTTGGCTCGTTTACTTGCCAGGCTGTCAAAAGGCAGTCACAATTTATACATACCAGTACAGGATGCTATGTATACATATATATATATCTACAGAGAGCTGCACAAAGGCAAATCTGCTTGAAGTTCAAAAGAAAGCCCCGGCCACAAGCCTAGGTCTTCCAGTAGAGAGGTTAGAATACGGGTAACCTTTTCTTGGTAATCTATTTTGGTAGGGGAACCCTCCCTCAAAAAAGAAACGGTAAAAGGGCACGATCCTGGGGGACCTAGAAGCAGAAGGCGGAACAGGGCCGTCGGCGAAGCCTCACGTTTTGACCTCCAGGAAAACTCGTGAATACTTGGGCCACGAAAATGGGCTCCACTGAAAAAAATGTGTTGGGCCACAAAACGTCGTGCACGGAAAAACATGGGGTACTCCAAAGAAAAGCCGTTCTGTGAGTTTTAATTTTAATGCCACATTTGGTCAACCCTAAAATAGATGTACTTTGTTTGGAGGAGACTCGAGACTAGCGTGCTTTTTACGCGCAACACATGGCCCCGAAGAGAACAAGCCTGTTTGGCTCTTGAGATGCGAAGGAAAAAGATCCCAAAGTGGAAAGGGCCCATCCCGATAGCACCCGTACAGGTCCCTTGGAGGCCATTGAACTTGGAAGCAAGCCACAATCAGGTGACTCATACCCGTAAAAAAAAAATGAAGGGCCAACGCCCAAGCCTGCGGGTCTTGGAGTCAAACCACTAGTATGTTCAAGTGGTTCAGGTGATGTTCAAACCAGATTCCAAGAGACTATCAGAGTCTTGCCATTTTATGAGAACCCAAAAGGAAACTGTCGGCAAGACGGCCAGGAGCGCATAGTTGCGGCCAGAGCTGATGTGGCTTACTTCCCAACCCGTCTGGGAAGATGCTCATCCCAAGAACTTAGGCAGTCGCTGGATTCACCCTCAAGTTGCAGACCGGGTTCCAACAAAATCCCACAGGTCCGAACATGGGAAATTGAAAAGCCCCTGGAATGACGGAGGTGCCAAGGTGTTTGGCCTCACTTCAGATCAAACAAGACAGGACAAAAAAAAAGTTAACTACATCCAACCGGAAAAAATGATAAACCTTTTGTTTAAGAAAACATGTTTTATTATTTATCACGGATTCTCTCTTGTTCCCTACCTGGTTTATATTTAGGGATCCGTTTGCCCTTGCTCCCATTGCAAACCTTGTTTGCCAATTCAGGTTAAGAATTGCTGCAGCCCCATGTTTTTGAAGTAGTTGGCTGAACTTCTGCGGTTTGAGCAGCACTTGGGTCGAGGCACCATCTTGCAGACGGAACATCAGCAGGAAGCCAGTTGCCATACTCACTGGTCCAAAGTACCCCCTACTCCAAATACACAATGTTTAAACGGTAAGATGCCAACTAAGAAAGGAAATATTGCTATGGGTTACCAGGCTTTCCAAAATATACCCTTTATAATAGAAACGGGTATCGGGAGTGGAGGTTACCAGGAAATAGAAGGCTCGGCGGGAAATGGTCAACTATCAGAATTTGGAGTAAACCCTTTCCTTAAAAGGGGAACCACCCTTCTTTTCCTTAAAAGGGGAATCACCCTTGATTACGGTCCTTTTCATTAATCTGAAGTTAACATTCACCTTCAACCTGGTGTCTCACAATAGGGGTTTCTTTAAAATAAGTGGGCTCGCGCCAAAATTAAAGGGCCCTAAACGGATCTGATCAGTGGGGTCTGATCGCTCCCAGACCCCCCTGTCAGAGGGAAACCAAAGCGGACACCTGCGCTCTTTTGGGGGTCCGATTCCTAAAAGAGACCCAACCATGTGGCGGAGACATGGGGGTTGTGTTCTTTGGAATCGAGCCAGTCTTGAATACTTCTTAGGTGTTGCCTTCCAATGTGTTTTCCTCAACGCCATGATTTGCTAAGCATTCATGGTTGCGTGCTCGGCGGTGCGCTCTGCCACCTGATTCTCCACCACAGCTGACAAGGCTTTGCGCATCAGCGGCGCCGGCGTTTTGCGCATCGGCGGCTCTTCTCATCAGCGGCGTCGGCTCTTCTCGTGTGGGCTGTGACTCTTCCCGGGTGGGCGCCTTCTGTTGAACTGTTGGCTCATCGCCAAAAAAACGCTCTTGCGGATGGATGTCCAATGGACCTGGACAGCTTCACCAGCAGGAAGGCAGTCGTTCAAACCCCTCTTGCCAGCTTCCATGATGTTTGGAATCGTGGATGGCTTGAATGCATTGTCGGAACAACAGAAACAAGGGTACATGGATGGTATGGAAGTTAGCTAAGAGGCTAGTAACACTGGTTATACAACCCACCAAAGCCATTTAGCTAAACCCAGACCATCTAAGTACCCTCAAGTTTTGTTGGTGTGCCTTCTTTCTGGCAATCGACCCCCAAAAAAATACAAAAAAGCATTGGAGGAAAAAGAAAGACTATGGCGCGGGGCTTCCCTTTGGTGTCCCTGAAAAACAAAAAACGAACAGGTACCAACCCAGACGAACACGAGCCATGCGCCGAGTTCCAGGGCCCCCCACGCAGTCTGAGGGATTGGCTGAGCCCGCCGGCTGCAGCACGTAGACCTCAGCCAGAGTTTCCCTTGGGAACCGCTTTTTGGGGAAAAGAACCCCCCAAAAGGAAACCACCCTCGGACGGAAACTAGACCAAAGGGAAAAACCGTTGCCAGTTTCGGCGGGGTGTTCGAGAAGCCCTTTCTGGGTTTGGCACGGAAGGAGCCCTTCCACGGATCTTCTGGAACATAAGCACCAAGCGTTGAAAGGGTCCAGCAAATCCGTTTTAATTTACAAAAAACAAAAAAAAACTTTCAAGGGTTCCCTTGGTATCGCAGGTGGCAACAAAACCCATGAACCTATGTCCAAGCGGTTAAACTGTCCAAATAGGGAGACCCAAGAATACCGGTATTCTTGTTGGTTTCCCTTTGACCCAACCAAAAAGAAGTGCCTTCAATATAGCACACACCCAAGTGCTTCAAGATAAATCCTCACCTAAGTGATGTCCACCAAAGGGTCTGAAATTCACACCCAATTCAAAGTGAGACAAACATTAAAAAAGAAGACAAACGCACATGCTTGTTCCTCCTTTTTACTGGTCGACCTCAAACGTGCCGTGTCCTTGTGGTTTCCCAAGCAAATCCTGAAAAGTCTCAAAGACAAGCCCATATTTACCAAAAGCTTGAACTGCAGTGCCAGTGCATGGGTGGCACGTTACTCGCTGCGCTGTTCCCTTGGCTTAAAAAGGCAAAACTTGTTTCGCTGGATGTGGGTGTTTCTTGAGGGTGCTTCAAAATGGGACGGTTAAGGGCAAACCAAAGTGAAGACCACCATTTCGGGGTCCGCCATGTTCACACCGGAAACTGTGGACGGATGCGATCCTGCACCAGCTGGTAGATTACATGACACAAAAGGTGGTCACGCCTGGGCACCGCTGAGGGGCAGAAGAAATATACTCTAGTGCTTGGGGGTTCATTCCTGCAGATATTTTTTCTACAAACTTCAATCGGAAAACCCTGTCATCATTCTTTCGCTTGGGATTCATGTCCAATCACCGGTTGGGATTCCAACTCTGAAGATATTCATTGCCAATTGGACTACGAAACAGACCTCAAAGTTTAGCAGAGTGCCTGGGGATAAGCAAAGGGAGCTGTCGCCCGAAAATACCCGAGTGGGTCTCTTCTCTCCGCAAAAACCGAGAAATAACTTGTTGCATCATGGAAACTAAAGTTGTGTGTCAATGAACTCAAACATGACTGCTTTCCTCTTGACTTCCTTTAAGCCAACTTTGAAATGCTGGTACCAGATTGCTTTCCATCGGCCAGGCTACTTTCAATCCATCTTTTCGGGCTTCTCGCGAGCTGACCATGGTTTTGTTGCTTGGTTTGGGTTGCCATAGTTGGGGCATCCGGAGAGCCACTCTTCTCGCGCTTCTGCAGGGCCGGTTTACGATAACCCTGGATTCGACCCGCGGATTTGATGTGTCCAACTCATTTCATCAGCTTCCGAAGTGGTTCGACTTGGTGAGAGCGGCTTCGCCGAAACTAGGCTGTGAAGATCATTTGAGAATGTCCACTAACCTTGCTTGAACTCCCATGCAGCTTTCCCTAGACTCACTGCCTGAGTGGATAGGCCCAAAACAAAAACACTGACTTGCTGTTTGCGACATTTAGAGGCCATTGCCTAGACTGCTGGGATGTCGTGACCATAGTACTAAACGTCCCCCGCCAAAAAACAACACACACGCGCAACCAAAAAAAAAGAGGGTGATGTGAACACTGAACTTCCAGTGAAGTCCATCGGCATGCATGCCCGCACCACGATGTGATTCTCGGTTTAAAGCTCAAAGCTTGGGTTTGTGGTGTTTAAACTCATGGAACCCAGCTCAAACAGCCAACATGAGGGCATAAAAAATAGAACCTGCTGGATACGTCAAAACAACATTTAGTCATGGGTGTACACCAGGAATCATTCAGCCCCTTGCGTGGGTGCGTCTTTTTTGAGAGTGCCCGGTCTGAGTCCTGCAAATAGTTTGGTTTGGTGGTTTGGTGGTTTGGTTTTTTGGTGGTTTAGCTTTTTGGAGGTTTGGAGGTTTGGAGGTTTGGTGGTTTGGAAGTTTGGAGGTTTGGAGGTTTGGAGGTTTGGAGGTTTGGTGGTTTGGTGGTTTGGTGGTTTGGTGGTTTGGTGGTTTGGTGGCTTGGTGGTTTGGTGGCTTGGTGGTTTGGTGGCTTGGTAGTTTGGTGGCTTGGTGGTTTGGTGGTTTGGTGGTTTGGCGGCTTGGCGGTTTGGTGGTTTGGGGTGGCGCCCCATTTGCCCTCTACAAAAGCCAGCGCTCAAGTCCCCAAATCACCAATAAAGATCGGGTAGCCCCAAAACGGAACCCTGGCAAAAACGGAAACAAGGACTAAAACCTGCGGCGAGTTTTTGGCGGCTTAATTTTGACCCATACCCATGCTACATTCACCTCGAGTGAGGCGCCGTGCTTTGCCGCTTGATCCAAGGCGCTGCCTTCTTGCTGGCTTCGTCGAGGTAGCAGAGGCAGTCATAAGTGGAGCCCACCTGCCGAGACGAAAAAAATGGGCCAACCACCGTGGTTTCCGGTAAGCTCAGCTGGCATCCCCAACAACAACTCTGGAACCCTAGCCTGCCACTCCAATCCACTCCAGGGCCTATCTGGGCAGACACCCCCCAGCTGGGGAAGAAGGGAGTCACCGAAAGGATGGTGTCCAAGGATAAAGAACTCGAGGGGGCCCCCTAAACTAGGGTATACCCATCCCAAGGACTATTGAGCCATATGATGGCCATAAGGGTATCAAAATTCGGTTGAGACCAACTTTTGAGGTGCCAAGTAATAGTTTGCTTGTTATGTGTTCTTCATTGCTCCCCGCACTGGCCCATCACTACTGGTAGTCTGCTTCACACTTTCCATCGATTCGCGGGCGCAGCGAGATCCCTTGGTCCAACTCTCCTAAGCAGTACCGATGACGGAAAACCAACAGCAGTGATCAGCCCTGTTCAGTCTCGTAGCGTGAATGGGGTTTATGATGGCTACTCAACTGCTGCAATGAGGTTATGCCAGATGCTTTTCGGAGCAAAGCAAGGGACGCCCTCTTGTCTGCACAGCGCATGTCGCAGGTTCCAAGGCCATCTCGCGCTGCAAAGAGCCGTCTCGAACTGAATTTCTGATAAGTTACATAATGACTTTTGGTGCAGCAGCACATAGCGCTCAATGATATCATGCTGCGCCAACGTCCAGTCCAGGTCCAAGGAAACACCGCGAGCTTCGCGGATGAAGTGCCTTGATGAACTGGCTTTCTGCACCAAACTCGACAAAAGACCCCGCTCGGATGGACATGTCGTTGGGACCTAGAGGAACCCAACCCTTGTAAGGCTGCCAACCTGGGTGTTCCGCCCCGGCAGAAAAACAAGCACCAAAACTTCTCGGGAGTTCGTGTACTCCCTGGCTGACTTAAAATGAACATCCCGAAACTGCAGAAAGCAAAAAGGCCACATGAGGATGTGTCAAAATAGGGATTCAGACCGATTTCGGTTGGCCTTTTGGCTTCCCTTCACACCAACCCCGAAATGGTCCCCTGCCCAAACAAAATAGACCAGCGTCGACCCCAACCAGCATGAGTGGAACTCACCAATGACATGATTTGGTGTCAGATTTTGAATGGACACCTTTCGTCCGTACTGGAAGCCAGGGAACCTGCGGTGAAGTGCAACCCCCGCGCCCCTGACCGTGCAGGAACGCGAGCAAGACACGACACAAAAATCGATTTGGGGGGGGGGGGGGAAAACGGAAAACAAAAAACAACACAGTTTTTGGGAAAACATGTGTTGGATCAATCTTGGAAACTAACACTATTTTTTGGAACAGCAAAAGGTCAAACAAACAGTCTGCTTTGGGCAACTCGAGCCCCTGCTCTTGATGAATGCGGCCTTCATCTTCTGCGGCAGACTGACCACAATGGCCTGCGGCTCCCGCTTGAAGCGATCTGTTTGTTGCACGCAGGTTCGACAGAAATTGAACCCCTGGGAATGGACAGCAACAGGACCCAACGTCAAGTTACTTTATAACCAAGGCTACTACTCACTTGCGGTTACCTCCATCGCCTCCTTCAAGCAGGAAGCACGCATATCACCTCAGTTAGTTGCGATAGCAACAAAGCCTCAACTGTGATCGTTTGTTGTGTGTGAACCGTGTTTGAAGAACACCAAGTGGAGAACCGTCGTGTTGTCGGGCAAAATGAGGGAACTGCGCCTGGAAACAACGTTGCCCTTGCCCCACATTGACGTACCATGAAGAGAAAAGCCGCGCTTCAGGAGGATCACGTATTTGCACAGTGTTGGTTCCCCTTTCAGGGGAATACCGCCTGTTAATAGGACGAGTTTACTAATTCTTGTCAGCATTACCAAAAACAGCGTGCCAAAAAATCGACGAAAGATCTAAACAGTCAAGCAACAGCACAATAAGTCTCCAAATGGACCGCTGCCAAAAACAGTAAAATTTGGAGATATCCGTGCCTGGTACTACTATTTCTCGACTCCACTACTGAATCTTTTTAGGCCCCCGTTAAATCTCTGGATTTTCAAACTTGTGCCCCTTAAAACGTGGCACCCCTGCAGGTTCCCTTATTGAGATTCCTCAAGCCATGTTCTCTGTCATCCATATCCATGTGTTTCTCGGTGTGAGTCGCCTCCATGGGTGGGCACCTTCAATCCCTAACCAGTTGGCGCAAAGAACCTGGGATTGGGACAGTGGTACCTAATTGCAGTGATGCCCGCAAGGGTGCAAGTGCTGAATTCTCCCCGAATCAACATGGCAGTCAAAAATTGGATCCCGCCTTCCCCCTCCCAAAAAAAGGCAACCGGAAAAAAATGTCTCTACACATGAGGGGGCTGGTTGGGTTTCATGTCAATCTGCGCATGCCCACAGATTGGAACATAAATCTGTACCGCAATTTGACAATGAGGAAACCATGAGGAAACCCCATGTTCTCCTTCCTCCCACTAGTAGAAGGCAGGTTACCTCGGGGGATGATTTGTTTCTTCAGCATGGGAGGGTAGTTGCAACATGGTAAACCCCTCGTCCGGTTACTTGACCATGGCGCATGTGTCGCCTGTTCCACACTCATGGAAGCCTAAGTGGGTAAACCAAACCTCGGAATGATTCCAAAAATCCTCTACAAATGGGTGTCGTTCTTGGGGGGAAGCCCGTTTTTGGCTGATACTAAAGAGAAACCTCAACTGCCCGCCCTCTGTGCGCTCGCTACGGGTAGAAATGGCAAAGTTTGGGGAAATGCTACTACCAGTCCCAGATTGGAAGATTGGAAAACACTGAATCTTCAAGTAAGAGACCTTCCGGCATCGTGAGCTCGTTTGTCCCCAAGATGGGCTCGCTCCCCATTTACCTCACCTCTCCCCTCTTCCCTCCTGCGGATCGCTCTCTTCCTGCACCAAGTCGGCAAAGACTCCTGGCTGAGAGCAAAATCTCTGCAAGCCCTAAGAATCTTGGGACCTCAAAAGCGCCATTTCTTATCAAGGTCCAATGGACGGGTCTGGTGATGCTTAGGATGCTACAGTTCCCAAACCGCGCTCGCTTGGCTTCCCAACTGTGAGACAGGCTGTCCTCTCAACCCATCCAAACTTACCCTCCTAACCCTAAACCAATCCCAATGAATCCACAAGATTTCGACAAAGTGCGAGGTTCACAATAGCATGGAAAAATTGTCATTGAACGACAACCCACGGACTTTGGTTTCTATCAAAATCCTCGATAAAATCCGAAGCACAATGTCTTGATCCCATTTTACTGACCCACGTCTGGGGAGCACAGAAAATAATACATGCTGATGTTGTTTCACAGTCAGTCTACCCCCAAAATATACAATAGATTTTGGGGATCAGAGACCCCAGCTAAGGGAGCAAACCACTGGGTGACTGTCTGCCCAACACCCATCCTCGTTGAAAACCGCTGGTTCTCCATATGAGGCATCAAGAAATCTTGACACAAAGCATGTATGAATTCTCCCTTAGCTTATTGGTTACTCAACCGCGAACTCTGACTTAACGGGAAACCAGTCAAGAAACTGCCCCCTCTTTTTTGAACGGCTTCTAGAATGAACTCCTGTGCCAAGAGCCCAAAGGAGCTTCTCAAAATGGCGGACCTGTTTTGGCTAGTCCGAGGGAGCCCGAAAAGGCAATCAACCATAGGGGATATTCCCCCATTTTCGGCATCGAGGGGAAAGTGTCAAAGAGGGCGCGCCCTAAATGGTAGTTCTCTTTTTGGTGTCCCTTTACAACAAAATCAAAAAGAAAAGCCCTCACAAACAGCCCCATATCTGAGATGGGTATGTCTGTATACGGGGACCCCAAAATGGTTGTTCGTGTTGTACTCCTTTCAAGCGACCCAACAGCTCACTTGCCCAAAGACCAGGAAATGAAAGGCTGAAATTTGGGGTCACCACTAAAAAACACTAACTGGAAAGGGCAAAAAGGTCCGTTCTAAGAGAAAGCGGTACCCTCTGAAACAAAAAACAAAAGCCCCTCATTTACGCCCAAAGCGACCCGCATTCACCGCTTGATAAGGCCTTGTTAAGGGCGTATCCTTGGCTTGTCCTCAGCCCCTGCCCATAGCCTCCACAGGTCATGAGCATAGGTGGTCCTTTTGGAAGAATAGATGGCCCTGGTAAATGAAATACAACCAATCTAAACCAGTGCCGTCTATGTCAAGCCGAACTAGCCTAAAAGGACATCTATGCTCATGAGTCTTCCAGATACCTCCAGTCATCCTGAAAAAACAACCGCCGGGGCGGCCGCCGCAGAGGTGGTTCACCTCCCAGAGCAGCTCCGGAACTTTGGCCTCGCGAAATTCCGCTGACAGAGTACACGCCGTCTATAAATAAATGTATATATATATATGTATACATATATATATATATATGTGTAGGCACATGTGTATATGTCTATATAGTTTTAACTTGCCTGGTTTTTTTTCATTTGTGCATTGCTGTTATATATATATATATATATACACACTTGCATATCAACCCCTTCCCCTCCCGGCTGGACCAGCGTTGTTTTTGTTTTTGAGCTGTGTTTTCTTCCAGTGGATTGTGTGTTCGACATTATTTTCAATACCATCATCATTATTATCATTGTCATCATCATGGTTACCATTCTCATTATCATTACTAGCACTATCATTATCAGTGTTAGTGTTTACCGCTATCTTCATTGCTGTTAATATGTATGAAAGGGGGCATGCAGCCCAGGTTAGGAAAGTAGATTATAACCACGGAATACAGGGAGCGGAAAACTCCCAAGCATCCCGGTAATAACCAAGGTGTGTAAGAAATCATCGTAATTGAGGCTGAGAATGCCAACAGGCAGGTTGCAACTGCTCTCGCAGCCAGGAAATTGAGATCCCTGGGTTTTCTCGACCAATGTCTTAGCAAACTTGTCCGCCAAAACAAATGGCCGCAGCCAAGCAACGGCCGTAATTCAGTGGCCTCCTCAAGGCATTCTCAATCAACAGAGGCCGCAAGCGAAGCGGCCGCTAGGCAATTGAGCTAGCGGGGAAAAGGGGGTGCCAGTGAAGAGGCCGCTCGGGAAGGGGGGCGCAAGCAAAGCGGCCGCTAAGAATTTCTTAGCGGATGGCTCCGAAAGATCCCACAGGCCGAACCAACGGACATCGGACGGACACGACAGACGCAGCGGGAGGCCCAAGCGTGAGGCTCAAGACCGCACCAGAACAGCCTCCTTTGAGCCGTGCGGGCAAGGCCCAAACTTTCAACTGCTATCGACCCAATGTAGATGGATCTTGGGGCTGCAGATGGCATGGTCTTGCAAACAGTTTGACTTGTCCCTTAAAGGGAATCCCCGCCAAACAGGAAGCGTGATTGCGGGTTAGGGGTCAACGCTGAATTGCTTTCAGTTTGGTTCGACTGCGTTCTGCGCTATCGCATCAGGCAGCAAGCAAGCGTCCGGCACGCAGTCGGATTGACCTTGTGCCTGTGTGGTTGCAGTTTCGAAGATGGCGATTCTTTCAAGTGAAGTAATGCGAGCTGCATCTTAATTAAGTGACTTGTTGGTGGAAATCAACCAGTTCGGTGGGGATTTATCTCCACCAACCATGAGGTAGTTCCAACTCTTAAAGCTCATAGCCATTTCTGGTGAAATCATCCTCAGGTCCATGTCCCGAACCTCAAGACCCGAGAAATCCACTCAGGAACTTCTGTCGCCATGGCTACCGAGTAGCCCTGACAGAGCTGTGGGAAAAAACTAGTTGCACTCGTTTCTTGGTCGACTTTCAAGGGAACCCCAACCTCCCCCCCCCAACTCCAAACAGGGAAGGAACAAAAAGGAGCCACTGGAGGTTTGGGTAATCCCCTAGTTGCATCAAGTGATGGCAACTGGCAACTTTTGGACTCGCGGAAATCCCATTGCTGGTTGATACCGCGTGTCGGGAAATGAGAAACATTTCAGGAAAGTACTTGGCCCACAAAGAAGGAATACACCAAAATCTAAGATAGGTGTTGACAGTGTTTCATTTTTTCTTTATGTAGCAAAACGATAGGGCAATGAGTTTCAATGGCAAATAACCACTCAATGTTCTTGGTTGACGTTGGAAGGGGAGCAAAAATTTAATTCTTAGCAGTTAAGAGGGGATTTCCCACTAAACCAAAAAAAAAAAAACGACAACCATGTGTTGATGTCATCTAAATAAACTCCCATGTTGTCGCAAAATTTGATCCCCACTTTTTGGTTTTGGCCACGGTGTCCTTTGGGTTTCCCTTTTTTTCACGAAGGAGGTTCCCAAAAAAGAAAATGGGCGCCCAAATGTTGCTTGGATGGTCAAGCGGTTAGCTGAGTTGTTAGTAACCCTGGTGACCCACCCAGCGATGGTTGTAAGTCTGCCAGAGTTACAAACCGAGCAATTCGTCCCATCTACCCTAGCATTCAACCCCCGTCTTGGACTTGGCCAAAAGGCTAGTAAGCCTGGTTACAGGGGACTTACAACCATTGTAAGTGGGTTGCAATCAGCGTTACTAGAGATTTAGCTAACTCCCCAACCATCTAAGTAGTTACAAAACAATGGTGGTTATATTGACCCCATTTGCTTTAATACTAACCTCTTTGTTGCAATACTAACCCCTTTGTTTTAATGGTGGTAACCGAACCCCAGGCCATCTAACTGGATTCTCCAAAGTTCGGTCTACGGCTCCCGGCGTGGTAGAGGATGGCCCACAAATCCGCGAAGGCCACACCCATCTTCCATTCCACCTGCGGATATCCGTCTCGTCGCACAACTTGTTTGTGGTTCCCTGAGTGACATCTCCCTTTTCACCCCTCGCAAAAAAAAAGAAAAAGAAAACAGACCGAAAAACAACAGACCCAAAACACATGGATTTCCAGGTCGATAAGGAAGTCCAAATATACATTTGTCACATTTGGTGCCTGCTGTAAAGCACATGGGAAGACCAGAGGGCGACTCATGTTAGGAGGTCGTGCTCCAACTTCCAGAAAGCAGCAAGGAGTTCAATCCCCAAACTCATCCAAACACGTTGAGCGCCCCTGAAAAGCAAACCTTGGTGGTCTACATTTGGTCCCTTATCTTTGGGCCATCAAATCTCACGGCACCCGGAAAAAGCGGAAACACATAGAAAAAGCGATCACTCCTACGGATTAGCAAGCTCCAAGGGGGAATGAAATGACGGACACCAAAAAGAAAATCACAACTTTCAGGGCAACCACGTGGTTTGCTTCGTTTTAAAGAAAACCCAAAAGGAACCCCTTGCCATTTTCAGGGTCCAACTCCTATTCTGAGACAGCGTCTTGCCACATGCAGGGCCGTGAGGAAGTGGCTCATGTTCAGCCACATGGTCTCACCTTACATTCTTTGACAGGAGCTCCACTTGAAACCTGCAACCAAAAGGTGATGCTTAAAACTACCAAAAGGAGAAATATGGGTGCGTTGCAAAATCGACCCTCAAAAAAGTGTGTTTCCTCTTGGCTTCCCTTCAACCATCAACCAAAACAAAATCATAAGCCATTTTGAGACACTCGCCCCTTCCGTCGGCGGCATCGTCGCCTGCTTAAAGACGGTGGGCACAAAGGGCTTGCCGGCGGAGCGGTATAGGTTGTGCAGCTTGGCCTAGCCGAAACGGTCCCATCGCCGATTGGACCTTGTTTTCGGCATAATGATTTTATGGCTGTGGGTCAAAAATAGGTACCCTAAGTGGAGCCCTGAAAAATGGAACCAAGGACTAAAACCTGACTAAATGGGTTGATTTTCAGCGGGTTTCCCCCAAGAAGTCGGAAAGGGCACCCGCATACCATCTGTTGCGCCGCCACACAAGCGCGGGTGTTGTTCAAGTGTTGATGTCGCATGGTCTTGATAAATCTCGATGCCTCTGAATGTTTCAGTGCTTGCTCAATTGTCTTTCCCTTCCGGATTTTGGGCGGTTTTGCAGGTTCCAGGTGGGTTCGGGGCTCTAAAGGGACACTCCTGGGGCGTACTTTCCAGTCGAGTTTTGTTGGCCTGGCGAAGACTGTCCGCCAGTCGCAGGGTTGCTTCGAGCTAAAAATCAAACCCTGAACCACAGCTCAAAGATGCAACAAGTGTTTGAAGTCCTAATGTTGTCCCAGGAAGCAATTTTGTAACATTGGGTTCTGTACAGTCACAAATGCTGCGGATGGACGAAATCCTGGACCACCCAAGAAACCCTGAAATGACGATTCCCCTGTAAATACCAACCAACCATAGTTGCAACCTGTGCGAAGGGATTTCGTCCATCCACAGTAGTTTTGACCCCGAACTCGGTCTTTCATTGCCAGAAAAAATCTGCAAAGTCAGCTTTTGGCTAGGGGGACGCCGGAAAACAAACTTTGCCCAACTCATCACGCTGGGGTACACCAAGAACAGCTCGTCAGATCCTGCTTCCTATGGGTGCGCCTTTTATTAGGGGACCGGAAAATTGTGGTTTGCCGCTTGGCGTCCCTTTACACCAACCCAAAATCACGAGTATCCGCCAAAACAAGAGGGAACCATAATCTTAGCTTACCCTAAATACAAAACATGTGGACCCACTGTACCTCCAACAGTAACCTGCACTTTTAGGTTGTCCATGCTTTCCGAAACGGTCTAGAAAGGACTAGCCTGGATAGTCGGATTGCCTCCCAAGTTTTCATGGAGTGACAGTACAGGGGGTTTTGAGCACGAAAATCTGCACAAGAAGCGGCACTGAATCTGTGGCTCAAGCATGGCTCACCTTGTGGCCCCTCCTTTAATTTAAGGACGATGCAGTGACCCCCTAGCCTTCAGATTCAGATGCAGTTTAGTATATAGTCAACCTTCTGTGCATATATATATATATACACATATGGGAATGTGTCAAAATAGGGGGACCCCGACAATGGGTGGTTTCCTTTTGCTGTCCCTTTCAAGCAACGGCTCCCAGAAGGGGCACCATGAAAAAACACGTCACCTCCCTCGTAAATATGTATACAAGTATATATATATATATATACACATACATACACACATACATCCATTATATATGTGTCCATCCAGTATGTATTTGTACCCTTACTTATTGGTTTGCTTTATTTATTGATTCATTTATTTGAAAAAGTGTCTATTTAATTTATCTGGTCCGAGCTCTCGGGTGTCAAGATTCAAACCGCAGATCCTGTCTTGCGTCGACTTTTGGAGTTGGCACTAGTATCCATTTTTTTGAGGGTTTTGAAGGGAAGCTAAAACGAAAGCGAAAGCCTGCCTTTTTTGGGGGTACCCTTGTTTTGAGACATATACTCCTTTGATTTAAAAGGTCCTTTTCTTCTCTCGGGCAGGTGAAGTCCTGCAATTCACTCAGATTAGAAAAGGTGATTGAGGTTCAAACCAAGCTACGTTGCTACAACTAAAAACCAAACTGGGTCATTCTTTCGAGGGGATTTCGCTTGGTATCACAGAAAGTGGCAACCTAAACCCCGATTCTCCACAACCACGCAGGGATGTGGCTCAAACGTCAAAAACCATTCACTCGAACCCAAGCCTCAACCAACCCTCAACCCATCCTCATCCAAGCGAGAATTGGAGTGGTCTCGCTTCAGCGTCGCGAAGAACCTCGGAGTCTTCGGCTTCGGAATATGGGACGTAGCACACCTCGCTATGCACGGTCAAGGTTACATGGCTACATGGTTCCCCGTGGGGAAATGTTGAGCTCGTCCCCCACATCCCTCCCAAATGGACGCGGTCCAGTGCAAGAAACCAAACCGAACCTCATGTCAAGAAGCTTACTTACTTCCATCTCATTTGAAGCGGGAAGCGTTGGAATGCGCACCCAACGCTCGACTCTGAAAGACAGGGTTGTGGGAATCGGGGGTCAGAGCCCGGTTTTGAGTGATGCCGTGGAGTCTCATTGAGGGGACGTTGTCTTGCTGGGTGTTGAATGGCGGGCCTGGCACAATATAAAGATATAAATCCACTTTTGTCTTCCTTTTGAGATGTTGTTTTAAAACATGGGCTAAATTGCACCCATCTTGAGAAGGACCGGTTTTTGGGGGCCCCACACTTACCCCCTCCCCCCCCCCCCCCGCAAAAACAAAAAGTCTTTGAGGCGACGCAGAGGGTTTGGATCCTATGAATCACAACCTCTCGTCAGAACGCTGTCTTTCAATGGTGGCTGGTTGCCTTTTTCAAATGAAGTCGACCCCCCCTGTGCAACACTACGCAATGTTGAACTCATGAAATGTTCAATAGAAAAATGCAAAGCACGCGCCCTCCATGGTTGAATGAACGCTCCAGAAAGAAGTAGAAACAAGTTGAGAGTACTGCCAGTGGAAACAAGCAACAAGAACCAGTTGCACACAAAGCAAGAAACGGGAACCTCAAAAGAAAGAACTGAATTAACCAAGCACTGGACTTTGTTGATCTCCAGCAATTTGATCTGCATGTTCAGAACAGAAAAGTCAAAGGAAGTTTGGAAGAAACTTCCGTAGTACTGGACCCAATTGAGCTGTGCTTCGTTGATAAACAAGTTTGCATGCATACTAATGTCAAGCTCGGAATAGTCTGGATGACCGTACTGGTCAAGGGTTGTTCCCTGTGAGTAGGACATGATCTACTTTAGGGGGTGGGTCTCCCGGAAGAATGCGAAAGCTATGCAAAAACTGCAACTTGCGAGAACTGGGGAAAGAAAAGAGCAGAAACTACGGCCTTTTGCGTGATTTCGGCTCTTCGGCACATGCGCAAAACACCTCTGTCACTACGCGGTCTTGAAACAATATTGGAACGGTCTCAGAGACGAGCCCGTTGGCGCAGCCGCGCGCCCTCTGTCGACTTTCATCCGGTCGACCATCAAAACTTGTTGTGTATTTCTGTCCTATTTCCATTTCGCTCGCGGAACCCTCTTCGGATATTCGCGGGGTCAACTTCAACATTTGTCTTTTTGCTTTTTTCAATTAAGCCTCTGCAGACTTTCACGCTTTGGTCAAACTATTTGCTGCTGTTCTCAATCTGGTCAACCATCGAATGGTGAGCCATCCTGCGTGTGATTGCTTGCGCATGCCGTGTCGGGCCCACGTGGCTGCGAGCAACAAACAGCCTTCTTTCCGGCTCCGGTATTTCTGATAAGTTATGATGCCTATAACCAACGTGTCCCACTTACAACCTTGGTCACAACGGGGCACAAAGTTTGAGTGAACTCAGAGAAAACAAAGGCCTCCAACCTGACGCAAAAAGCGGGGGACGGTCAGCATGTGCATTTTGACCGATCTAATTGTCCTAGACCCTCACTTAACCTTCACAAAACTCGGAGGCTTATCAGGATTCTTTCATCGGACATGTTTGTTGGAAACAAACGTCAGACTTCCGCCCAGAGATCGTTTTCTTGGTCGTCTTCTTCCCAGACCACCAGTGGCCGTCTAAGAAAACCGGGGTCCCTTTTTCAGGGTACCGCTGGGCTTGGAAAATCCCTTTGGCAGATCCGCAGATCCGAACCCAGGTGGTTTTTGGATGCATCCCCCACAAGCAATTTCCGATTGAAGAATAGCGGTCCAGTCGGTAGCTGGAGCTGGCCATTGATTTCCGCTACGCGAGGCTGTGGTAGGGCCTTCAAGGCTGAGCGACCCACAAAGTCGTTTGTTTCTTTTCGCAAAAAGCGGCGCAACCTTGGATTCCGGCACATGAGTTCCCCCCCCAAAAAAAAAAAGAGAAGAAAAGAACAAAACAATGGAGGAGACTCCCCCAGCCTTGAGGTTGAACCCGTTTTTTCGAAT